CCTTTTTTCTCAATGCTTCAAATCCCCGAAGCATGTCGCTTTGATGCAGACACATTTGAGATGTCCACAGCTCTTGCTAAGTGCAGCTCTTCTCGTTTGTCTGATTCCTGCAGCCTTGCTCTACCCTCAGGGGTTGAGCGCATGGCCTGCACAAGACGGTATCTGCACTCCTCCGTGTGATTGACTCCTGTACGGCACAGGTTGTTCTGAATCAACCTGCATGCTTCACAGCCATCCGTAAACCCATGGCGTTCCAAGTCAGTTATACGGATGTACATCCTCCTCCACACTGGTTGGGAGTTGGCATATGCAGAACCATCATCTACTTCCTGTGGTGGTTCTTCTTCTGTTTTCTGAGAGTCACGCATCAGTTCAAAAAGATCTGCAGGGCAAGACTCAAATCAATGGCAGCAGCAGACTCAACTGATTTTACTTAACGCAACTTAATGCATCAACAAACTTAAAATGTTTGGTGCCAACCAGACCTGGTTCTTCTTGTAACCCCTTTGAACCATGTGGTTTCACAACCTTCTGCTTCTTCCCCATGATCTCCAAATAGAAATCTCGACCCTTGTGTGGCTCTATCTGTGATAGTTGTTTGCCCCATAGAATTGCCAAATAGTACCTCAGCGATGGAGAAACAATAAAACGTTATATAATTGAAAGGATCCAGTGGTTGTTTATTTATCAAATTGTTTTCGCAAACACCAAAGCAAACTAAAGAAGTCTAGATACTGATCTATTTGAAAGTGATATATCTCTTTCAGTCCTTCATTGAAGAACTCTGAAGCCTTGACCAACACCTGTAAGTAGTGTTTGGATGGGTTCTTGTCAATGGTCCGATACCAGATCTTCTTTGCACCTTGGGAATATGGCTTCACTGATGCTCGGTTTGTGCGCAGCTTGTCTTCCCATCCTTACCAGGGACAGAACCCTTGAGTTAATGTATCTACATTGAAGAGTGAAGTTAAACAAATACAGCAACACATTAGTTGTTTGTCGGTTTAGACTGGCAGAACTGCCTGCTTTGCCCAATGTCAATGTGAGCTCAACAATCGACATCTGTTCCACTGGAACATCACGGCAGTGGGTGGAAAGTCTCGTAGATTGTGATCGAAATGCAGAGATGATTGGCTTCAACATAGTTTGGGCCTCTTCCGATATATAGTATGAACTGATCTGAGTCTTAGACACATTGATCAAACCAGCTTGGATCAACGAACGAACATTTCGGCTATCTTGTAGGTAGTAATCATGTCCAGCATTGGCAAACGCATGAGCCTCTGCCAGTTCGAGAAGCAAGTCCTTCTCTTGACGTGTCCTTGGAGTCAGTGATTCTGATGAACTCTACCCTTTATCCTTGATGTGTGTTTGCATATTGTTTCATGTTAGTGTCTTTCTTGCAAACATGGCGCATATCCATATGCGGCTTCAGTTGAATGTCAAAATCATTGGTGGCCTTCCACACTCTGATCTTTAGTAGTTCATCAATGGGTACAGGTTCTGCTTGGCGTGACCTAAGTTATTGATTACAATTCCCACTTTCCATCAACCAAATAATTCAATAAGTGCATAGTCAAGCTGTTCTTGTTCAAAAACGACCACTACCTTGGTCAAGCTGCCATGCAAAAGTACCAACATTGTTTGGGTCAAGCGATAGAGTCACTTGCCGAATTTTCTTGCCGTCATAGGTAGCAGAGTTGACTTTGTAGAACTGAACAATACAATCAGCATCTCCAATCATCGAGTCCCCAATCACCACATGGCTACGAAAGTTCTCGTTTGTGATTTTGAAAAAACGATGACCACGAACAAGGTTCTCAATCTGAATCTCCTGTTGTACACAATCATCTTCTCGGAGGCTCGAATGTGTCACAGAACCTTGCTTGGGACGCCTCACTGATGGACAACCTTGGAACGCAATAACAAAAGAAAACTGAAGAATGTTCATTTGCGATTGCAATTTACAAATTCAGAAAGATACAAATTGAAGACTGAAGGTTGTTGTTGTTTTTGTTGTTGTCCACTGGCAATTCCTGATTGCAAAGTAACCTGTCGCCACATCTTGCAGATTGACCACACACTTCTCGTACAACTCAGGTGGCATTGAGAGAAGGGCTGAACTATCATGCAGTGATACCTGACCAACAATCAAAAGTTGTAAATGTGTTGCCAATGCTACAGCTGTTGCTTGTGACCCTTAAGATCCCTTAAGTAAATGGAACACTGAAAACTGAATACCAGCCTGAATCATGTGATTTCCAACAAGCTGGACTTGCGGACATGCTGTAACTGGCAAAGGTTTGATGGAGCGTGAGCCAGCATCATCATTGGTCTGTATGCGTTCTGTCACCTTCGGCTTCTCGGAATGTTTCTGCCTAATATTGTCTCTGTACAAAAGCTTGGCTAACTCTGTCATGTCCATGTCCTGCAGTTCCGTCATGTTGATATTCTCCATGCCCAAAAGTTTCCTTATTTGATATCATGAATGAGCTCTAAAGCATTTCAATGACTCTGTGAAACCCAAGGCTTGCACCGAACGCAAGCTCGAAATCCAGCAGTCTTCTCCACTGCACTCAATTCGCTGGCGCAATCTTGCAAGGCCTGCATGGATATGCAAGCAACACTAGTGCTGAACAAACAATCTGTCCTTACACTTGGACTTGGCACTCAAAGGAATCAAACATATATGATATATGCCTGCCTGTGGATTTGAGAGTAGCAAAGTGCAAAAGGATGAAAAGCGCAGCTCTGATGATATCAGAGCCATGTTTGCGTTGGGAGCGCGCTTCATCACTCTGGACACTCGTGCATGTAATCCTTCTACTGGACGCTCACTCACCTTTATTAGCGCCAAAGAAGCTACCCAGTATTGAAAGTCAATGTTCGTAATCCTTGGTTCAGCAAGTGTCATGTGTCTCCATTCACTGCTAATCAAACCCTGCCACTGACCCTATGGAAAAAGACTGTTGTGCACCCAAGCATCTGCATAACTGTTTTGGCGCCACTTGCTATGTCTTCCACCTTGGATTAATCAATTGACGCAAGTATAAACACATGTTAACGCTAAACAATAGCAATGCCCAAGCACAACACTACTCTCAACATTTAATAATTAATTGTCATCAAAGCACATGTTGTCTCAAAGGATGTTCATCTCCTCGAAGACCAGAGAATTGAGGATCTAAGAACCGTCTGCTCATAAGATGATTGCATCCTGGAGTTTGTTTTGTCCACAGTCGCAAAACATGAGCAGCTGATGCTTGTGCTTGCGCAGCATCAAAATGGCCCAGGCCACATAGTGCATGTGGAAGGGTCCTCCAGTACCCTATTTTCACTGTGATTTCTGATACAATCTTGGATTTGGCTCGGTCGAAATCATTCAGCAAGCTGATGCGTTGGGATTCCATCAAAGATGATGAATGAGCCACAAAGTTCAAACCTGCAACACGAAACTTCTCTTGAACTTCTTCCAGTGCAGATCCTGAAGCAAATTCAGGCGCCCTGCATCCTTTCAGCTGACAGGCAACACGCGAACCGCTGGCAAGAATTGATGAATGGCAGGGACACCCTTCAGACCACCTCCCCAAGTGTTCTCCAAGGCAACCCAAATCATGCACCAAGCGAACCATGCACCAGAACATATTGCTTGATACAGCCCTGTGCAATTTGGAAACATCACCAGGATCATAATCATCACTTGATTTGGATGATGCAGAACTGTTGGTTGCGAACTTCTTGTGATCCCAGAGGCTTCGAAATATTGGTTCCAATTCCAAGACCTTAGAAGAAATTGCGCTTTGCTGAAGCTCACAGCAGGTACTAGTATAGTTTAACTTCTGTGAACTAAACAGTTATTTTATTCATATTTGCTTACCTTGCTGAGGCACAGCAGTGCAGAAGTTGACAATTGCTTCCCATCTCAAATTCTTCAATGATAGATTCCAAGAACGCAAAGCTGATTCTGCGGATGTCATCCCTTTGGGAATGCAAGTTGCAATAAATCGCTCACGGTTAAGTGATCGCCTCAACAAATACTCCACTTGGTGAAGCTCAGCGATAAAGTCATTCCACCTTAAGGTTCACAAATCCAATTGTTACAAGTCAAGTTGCATACCACCACTTAGTACTCACAAGCTAATCTGAATCAAGAGAGATCTAAACTAAATCACCCTACTTGCTAGACTTGCCGAGGTGCTGCATCATAGATTCCAAACCAGAGTGCATAGCATTGTCGCAGATATGTTTGATTCCCAATACTCTGATGGCATTGGGAAGCCTTGAAAGAACAAGCAACCCCACTGCATTTCTATCATCCCACGGAATGGAGAACAGTAACAGAGTCAAGCAACAGCTTTGATATGGACTGTTGCCCTCCTCCAGATTCAGATGGCGCAGGACATGATGGTGATGCCGGCAATTCCTGTTCCTCAAACACTTTGCCTTGTTCGCTAGCATCAATGAATTCCTGTTCCTCAAACACTTTGCCTTGTTCGCTAGCATCAAGGAAATTGTGAAAATCAGAGTTTTGCAACTGCAATCTCCCACAATTCGAATCCGTTTGGCATGGATTTACAGAGATCGCAGCAGCATCATCAGCTGCAACATCCCGTCGACTGACTTCTGCTGAATCTATGAGCAAGTGCTCTGTGCCTAGGAATCTCTCTCAACACAAGAGACGAGGTCAGTGCTGATGCTTTGTGCCTTAACTTAGGTGTTTTCTGTCAATGGTTTCCAACAATTGATTCATTTATTTTAGGTCAAACATATATACTTTGTCCATATCTAGGAGCCTAGGAGCCTTGATCGCTGACACAAGCAACTACGCTCTCAGTGTAGTTGCGGAAAGAGTCCCCTGTCTCTAAGTAGAGCAAATGCACCAATGCTGTGATTTTGTCAACTGCTTTTGTGAAACCTGGCACCAGATGAAGCAAAATGTTCTTTACCACTTGATGGCACAGTTCTTCCAATTGAACCAAAATAAAAACAAACCAAGAAACCTTTTCCTAGGGCCACAGGAGGTAGTACACGACATTCAATGTCACCAGACAATGAAAACAAGGGGTCGTCCTCAGAAGCGTCCTCCTTGTTCATGTTCCTTTGCAAATCCTGACACAACAGGATGCTGCGGTCTGACCTGAGTCAAATCATTATCACCTTTAGTCATTGTCATCTGAGTCAATCACCGGACCAATTGTTAATTTGGGCAAGTAGCTCAATGGTTGTCTCGTAGCAAAGGAAGTAGTCCCGCTTCAATGGTGAAGAGTCAAAGCCTGCAGTGGAGCAGGTTGAGCATCACTAATCACTAACATCATCTAAGACCACATGTCACATCACTAAATGATGTGCAAGAAGCAAAGTTGCACCGACCGCTTGTTGTGTTCACCCAACCAATTGGACCACTGGTGCCGCCGCAACAGCATGTGTGCTACATCAAGCTTGAAGGTTGCCCTGCTCAATGTTGCTACACTGGGAAGGTCCACCTTGTCCATCTCCAAAGCTAAGGATGGGCACACCAGTTCCAATGCGTTTGCTACAGCACTGGCCATTCTAGAAGAAGATCGCAAATCAAGCCGCCTTGATGATTGGTCAAAGTACCCATTTACCATGACCAGTCCGATTCCCCTACACAAAAACAACAAATGTCAAACTTCCAGGCCCCGGTCCCCTCAAGCCGTCTTCGCGCCAAACATAAATATCCGAAGGTCTTCAAAAGGTATTTGACATACCCACCACAAATGTCAGTCTGCAGTCTGACCGTCTATGAGCTTGAACTTATTTAAGTAAATGCCAAGCATCAGCTTCATGAATTTATGCAATTGCGCAATTGAGAAAGCAGGCCTCCCTCTGCCAATGCATATCTGCGGCGCCAAGCTGCTTTTGGCTTGTTGCAGTTCCTTGGAAGGAGCTGCTCAAGTGTCAATTCTATGCCAAAGTCCAGTTGCTTATTCCAGTGCATTGCTAAATTAGAAGTTGAAATGGCAGCTGTCAGTTCCAATTTTATGAAGTAGCAACTAGTCACTGGAACCAACTTTGGGTTGATTCATAGCATGGCATGGCAAAGGGAAAGGCTAAATAGAATTCAGCATTGGTGTCCAATGCAATGTCCCAGACTGAATCAATCTCAATGCTCAACTTTGTGCTTGCACTTTCAACAATGGGGAGCAGCGCAGCCAAGAATCCTGCAAGCACTCTTGTAGCTTTCGCACACCAGCATTGTAGTTTTGTGTCTGCAGGGTGCACTGTGAGCCTATATATAAAAGGGAACTGATCCTGCCTAGCCTGAACCACAGCTATGTACTATGTTGTGGCATTTGAACATCATATAATGCAACCGTAGTTGTAACATTCATATCATGTTGCCTTCTTGTAGAAACAAGTAGCATATTCAATCCTCACTCTCAATTTCATCAGCTTCCACTGTCCAGGAGTCCATCAAAGCAACTTGACATTGACAAGTTGAAAAGTTGAAGATGCATTATGTTTCCATATTGTGCCTGATGTTTTTGATAAAGTTACAAATGGACACATACACAGGCATAATCACAAATTGCTGAACTTATTCCGCCCATACCCACCTGTTCATGTGTTCCATGTAGGAAAATGCAACCGCCGCATGTAAGAAAGCAGTGCAGCGCTTCAGCTAGCAATGCATTGCAACCCATGCCAGCTGCCGGTGGTGGTGCAAACTATATAAAATGATTTCATGGTAATCAAATACATGATTGATTGCCCACTATAGTTGTGCAAACGAGTTACAGTCAATGTATATTGTTCCTAATTTATGAGGCTATGCATAGCATTCCTTGCCGATTGTCTTTTCAACTAACACCAGAACAACAGTTCTTCACTATTTGCCATGTGGCCTGCATCCAAGATCAGCCGACGCCATGAAAAACAACAACGCCGACAACAATCACAGTGAGAAAACAAAACACTTTTGTGCTGGAACAGCATATGCCATGTTCAGGTTCAATCGAACAACATACAAATTGACCAAATCCTTAGAGACAACCCCAGACCTTAGAGACAAGGAATATTGTAAGTTAACACAAACAAGGAAGTGCCAACATATATATATATTTATATAGAACAAAAGAATACAGTATTATGTTGAAAGGACTTGTCCATAATTGACAAGGACACCGACCACGTAAAGCACCTATGGAACCGATTCGAAGGATGTTCGAGCACAATGAAGCATCAAACACAGGTGAAAACATACAACACTCCAATGAAAGTCAAGTAAAGTGCTCTCGTTTTTCACGCATGCCATGTGCCCATTCCATCCACAGCCTCATCAACCATTCCGTTGATGCGCAGCAGGGCTAAGGAATCGCAGGGCGTGGCTTGGAGGTTGACAATGACCAAACCTTTTCCAGAGCTCTTCCGATGCTTCCGCGCCAGCCAGCTCGGCATCTCCTGGAATGGCGCCGACGTGTCTGACAGGTGTCACCGGAGTCATCAAAGCTCAAGATGAGTAAAGCTGTACTAGACAGCATCGAAACACCTCCCTACGACGTGTTTCGATGAGTTGGTGACGACACTAGAGAAGTCCGTGTCAAATCAGCCAAGGGCAAACAAGGCAAGGTCGCAAGATCTATTCTTGCAAAATCGACACCAGGGCCCCTGACATTGTACAATAATTATGATCTTAGCGTATCTTATCGTAATATAAAGATTTCGATAGCACCCCGGCCCTGGTCATCTGCTAAGCCTAAGGCATCCTAAGGCCTAATACAAGTTTCAAGCAGGACCCAAGTGTGTCTGTGATTTCATCCTAATCTACCCAGTGTACACTTACAAAAGCCTTGAACATACTACCGGAACCCCGAGACTTTGACAGCGTCTCATTTTACGATCCTCAGGCCTTATCAAATCCAGTTCCGTATGCAATGCTCAACCCATCCCCGCTCCGACGCGGGTGTCACAGTGATGGAGCTGCCCAAAGCTACGCACAGGTCAGCAGCCTCCGTCTGAGCCCAGGCTTCCTTGATGACCCTCAGCAGTGCACTGCGAAGTGAAGATGCCGATGCGGCGACCGTTACCATAACATGTAAAGTACCATAAAGTACCTAACTCACCGTCATCCTGACACCTTCCATCACCTTCCCTTTTTATGTGGAGGGCCAAGCAAAGCATGCCAAGGCTCTGTTGTGGCAGATCGTCCCCGAAGCCGACGCCACTGTGGCGTAAGGGGCCTCCACAGAATTCACAGCTGCGGCCAGTGTAGCCGCCAGGGCAAATGGTGTTGAACGTGCGCTCAAAGTCCTGGGACAGCAGGGATCGGAACAAAATTAGTCTGGCGCGGGCTGGTTCGGTCTGGTATATCTTCGCCCGATTGGGGTGCTCCCGATCGAGCTAGAGCAAACTAAGGTTCCCCCCATTTAGACTCTGTATGTACATTCCATGTCTGTGCACAATTTGCTCAAGCAGGGTGCTTGTAGTAGGGCACGTGGTTCAAATGTCAGCCCATGTTGGAAAATGCCTAGCGCGAAGTAGCGGTCCCCCCAAATCTTAGCCACCGGCTACAGAGTACGAGTATCAAACCATTGCGGAAATTAGACTTGAACAAATTGAAAACACCTGACAAAACAAATTCACAATGTGCTTGAACGGATGCCATCAAGCTGCATGGCCACATTTTGCGCACCTTTCCACGAAAATGTTGCCGTGTAGCTCACTCAAAGCAGAGGCAGGAACGCCAGATTTTCGATGCAGACCATCAACGTTCTGAGAAATGATATGCCTCAAATGCTGCCGGTGCATGGCTAGATTAGCCATGGGGAAATGGAGCTCGTTGCAAGCTGTAGTATTCCCATGACCCGTGCTAATGGCTACTCTATATGGTTGGTCCTCCTAACGTCAAGTAGGGCCGATGATAAAGGAGGTTGTCAGTGGACGTTGTAGGCAGCATGCAAGTCACTAGTCCTAAGCTGAAAATGTAAGTAGAGCGAAGCGCTCCGTTACACATGTTGCAGGGACCACATCACATACAACACAGGATACACAAGGGCAATAGAAAGGGTACGTCACGGTATGTCAGAATCTGTCAAAAAGGAAAAGAACTTGACCAAAAGACCTACGAAGAAACTGGTCTCTTCAGGGAAGCACCTCATCCTCTGGTTGCTGCTGTCGGCCGCCATCGGCTCGTCCCTCCACACGGACGGGCGCCCATCTGGTGCCGGTCAAGGCACTTCAAAAGGCCACCCTTCCAAAGGCGCTGCAACACCCGGTGAGTTGGGCCAGGTTCGGCTTGGGCACACTGCTCGAGGAGATTGCCTTCAAAAGCATGATAGCAAATGGGATGGTTCAATAACATCGTCCAATACAGCAGCTTCAAGGTACAGTACAGTGAGTTGCTCATATCTGAAGGTTTGTCTGACCTACTGTGACCTACTTCAAGCTCTCTCGGTGACTTTGAGTAGTCAAGGCTTCGTTTCTGAAGAGTTGCACTGGCACACGTGCAAGATCATACAAAAAGGGTTGGCTGCACAGTACTGCAAGTGTCACGGTCTTGGATGGATGACTTGCTCCTTTAACCAACACTTATCATATCTTATCATTACCTAATTACCTTTTTGTTCATCAATATCTTATACGTATATCATCCTTCTCCAACTCTCCACCAGGTCAGCGATGAGTCTGCCAACTCTGTCAGGCCACTGGGAGATGCTGATTTGGGCCGTTCCCAAAGCCCCGGCCCCGTGGGCAAGGAGGTGTTGATGCCACTCCGGAAGTCTGCGATGCCGGCGCCGGTCGAGATGCCAGCGCCGGTGAAGGCAATAAGGTGACGAGCATTTGAGATGAGGTCCTGGGTGCCCCCTTCCGCCCACCACAGTGATGTAGGAAAGTTGTGCAAGTTCTGTAGGCCCTGTAGGCAAAACCCTTTGTAGAATAGAAGTGTTTGTTTGAGGTAAGGGCTCTGTTTCCTTCTGTGAGGTGAGGGTGCACTTCTTTCTTTGAGTGTGTTTGTGTGTTGGATGGCTAAGTGAGCAAGGGTAAGAAGTATGCCGCATGGGGCCCTCCCTCAGGTCCCTCAGAACTTCTTCGGCTCAAATCCACAAGACTGGTTTTGGCCAGTCCCAGCCAGTCCCCATCAAACCACCACTTGGGATTTGAGCCAAGAGTCCTGACGTGGATGTCATACCAACCTCTTTCTCTCCACAATGGTGGATGGATGTGCTCAACATAAGATCAGTCGTCGGAGTCGTGCGTAAATCCGCCTGAACTCATCACTCTGACAAGGTGCTTTGACGATCTTCCCACATCCTAAAGCTTGCCACTCTGTCGGCTGACCTCCATCTCCCTTCCCACAGGTGTGTCTTTTCAATCTTAGGGGGCCATGAACTTAAATCCCTAGAACTCCTACTGTCGTCACTCTCATCGATGGATTTCCCTTGCTGTATGTCTTACTTTCTGAAATCCATTTTCTCCATCGGACCGTCCGTCCACTAGAAACAACAGCCGCCCAGCCGGCGCTCTGGGCTCTCCTGGAAATAGGTCCCACGTCTGGTCATCGCATCCAGTCAATGAGGTAGGCTCTCATCCAGTCAAGATACTGCAAGCCGCTGGCACTTGGCTCGTAGCTCGGCCTCAGAGTCGAAGTACTCCTCGGCAACGCGTCGACGGGAGAAAGGCGACGATGCTCCCCGCTACCCTCAGCTATCGAGCGACGTCTCAGTGCCCCTTCCTGTTGATTGGTAACAATTAGAATTAAATTAAATAGCTTCTTGTTACTACTAGTAAGGCACTTGTTACTACTAGCGAGGCACTTGTAATTACTAGCATCTCATTATATATGTTTCAAGATGTTTCAAGCAGGTCCCTTCCAGTTCACCAAGCAAAGGACTGCAAGTCTTTCACCACTGAGACACATATCGTGGTTTGAGTTGAGTATTTGGGGCATCCCCAAACTCTCTTTCCGACTCCTTCCCGAAGCCATGAGCCATGTATGTCCCAGACTCTGTCAGCCGATCGTTCTCATACTGAGCCCAACAACTGCCACAGTAGAACTGCCGCGTCTGCCGCTCGTCCACGCGACCGCTGGGGTCACGCTGGCCGCACTGAGCGCAGCGAGGGATGCGCCCGTGAGCGATTGCCACATCTGCGGCCGCCTGACGGGATTTATTAATTTTGGAGGCTGGACAAGGCACCTGGAACAAGTATACTGTGGAACCTTTTCCAGCCAACTTGTGTGCTTATAGCCCGCAACATGACCAGTGACTTGGATGTTTGCTGCAACTATGATGTTTGTTCAGGTCCCAAGCTTCCATGGCGCCGCATCTTGAGCTAGCAGCCGCCACCACCGAAAAGGATGTGGGACTTTGAAGGGTTCTTCACTTTTTCTGGGTGGTCTCATGTGGTCTCCCTCTTTTGAGACACCACCGTGAGCGATGCCTCAAAACACCACTGACTGGATCAAAACCAATCACAAAATGTCCTGTGTCCATCCATTCCAGCCCGTGGCTGTCCGGATTCGTAGGTCGGTTCGTCTCCGCGTGCCGATTCCGAGAGCGGCCTGACATCCTGCACAGCTTCGGGACCCATGCCGGCCATGGTACCGGCAGCCAGCGCCACAGCATTGCCCACAGCTCATGACCAGCTTGAACAAACCCCCCGAGGTTGCTCTAGTGCCCGGCTAGGGGTGTGATCCTTGCTCAAAAACTCACCAATCCTTTTTGAGCAAAACTCATCCTTCTGGGGTGGACTCCAGCATGCCCTGTGCAAGCTTTCTTCACATTAGACAGGGGTTGGACGGGGACTATTCCTGGAGCACTTGCACATCTTGCTACAAAAAAGTGAAGCACAACAGCGAAGCACATGTCATGTTGAAAAGGCATCGTCAATGAAAAACCGCTGGTTGCTCCATGATGTATTTGCAAGTTTCATGGCGTTCATGCATCATCAACTCTTATCTACCCGGCACAGCGGGGGCGCAACGTGTGACCGTGAGATTAAGGCCGCCCGGTTGACTCAGGTGTGCCTATAACCCATGTGACACGAAGCAATAGGTCATTGATTTGCATTGAAGAAGGGCCTTGGTGTTTCCTTCGGTTCCCGGTCTACTTAGGTTTGCAGGAGTGTTAGAAACGTGCTCTTCCTAAACCCTTCAAGTTAACTTTAGACACGCTTTCATTGCCATGGGATGCTGAATTGAAGAGCCACTTTCATCAAGCAGGGTGCGAGTTGCTAGTTGAAGCGGCCATTGAGGTTCACACGCCTCATGGTTGTACAAAGGCAACTCTTGCTTCCACACTAGCCAAAGCAACACCGGCAAAAGGATTCTAGTCCTGCTCTTTGAGCTCGGTGTATCTCGGAGAGCTCGTGATAAAGAGTGGAGCTTCCCGAGCTTCCCTTCTAGATTTTGATAAGTTGAGAGTTGGAGGTTCCAGCAATTTGAGATATCAACCCTCAGTCAGTTGCCACTTCTCCCAGCGAAAAACACCATCCACCGCTGCGGCTGCGGTCCGAACTTTTCAGCTGCACGCAACCAGTCCAAACGATAGAAGCCTCCTTCAGCACAAACTTGTTCCATGCTTGGCATGGGCAGAAGCACGGGCAAATAGCCTCAGGGAGCAGTCAAAGGCTCTACTACTGTATCCGACTCTATTCTGCGTCGTTTGAGAGATGTTGGATCGGAATAGAACATGGCTTGAGGGAAGCAAGCCAGCCTTTTATGTGATTCCCATGGCTTGGGCTTATGTCTTGGAGCGTTCAAACAATACGGCTTTTCCTCAACCCTGATGTCACAATAGCATGGGTTGATGGGAGTGACACGATGTTTTGAGACTTTTGGGGCACTTGGCCTTTGTTCAACCACCAAACTGTATTCCAGCTGCTGCAACTCCAACAAATCCTTGAAGATGCAAGTCTATTGACTTAGTAATCATCAAAATAGATCGAAGAGCCAAAACAGTTGGAAATAGAAGGCCCTGGTAAAGCTGCCAAAAAGATCCAAAAAGGAGGTGGCCGAGAGCGCCTGAGAGCTCCTCTACATTGCTCTGACTCTACATATGTGAAAGCTCCCGCGGCATTCCGCGGCTGCACGTCACCAAGACGCCAAAGTCTGAGGAGTGCGGAAGATCCTCAGGTCTTGCCAAAATCCTGAGATCGGATTTCAGAATGAGATCCGAAAGGAGAAAATGGGTGTGCAATCTTGGGACTGGCCAGGGCTCAGATCTGAGTGCAGTTTGAGGTCACATTGGAATTGGATAGCAGTCATGACCTGGCCCGTAATACGCTCAACCAAGGCGAGAGTGATGGCACAATTTTATTGTCCATGTGTGGGTCTTGAACATCTGCCCCCTGCTTTGCGAGGTCTTGTTTTGACAAGCTGCTGCTCCGAAATGCATGACCTGTAAAGCAATACAAAGGTAGTCTTTCAAGCCCGTAGTCGGGGATAGTTGGGGCATGCACGATCTCAAATACAAGGAACCACATGCTGTGCAAAAAGTCAGCCCGGCTGACCTCACTGTTGGGAGATTGGGGGATCGACACGCATGACCCACATGATCAGCAAGTTTGTGGCGATGGTTTGCGTTTTGAGCCAGCTCCACACCAAGCCTCACTGAAGCCAAGCATCTGAGGCCGCAAAGGCGTTTCCCGCAGGTCTTGGTAATGCAGTTCCATCAACTTCTCAAGGTTCTGAACCTCGGAGTCCTCAGGCGAAGGCTTCGACATTGTCTTGACTGATCAATCTCCCATGCGATCTTGGAGGGAGGGTATGTGTTTCATATGCCGTGCACAGTGCCATATCAATCCATAAATCATGTCCACATCCACATGTCCAAAAGGCCATGACCACCTCCATGTCCCTCCTGCAAGAGGTGTGGCTGCATGGCCACATGTCGAGCAAGACATGGTTCTTGACAACTGGGTGCTGTGGGGCGATGCCGGCGCCAGAAGTTGAAAATAAAGACTTTCCGCGACTCGTCGCTGTCTAACCTCACACAGCACTCGGATCCATGACAATTCGCGACTCCGTGTCTTCCGAAGAAACGGATCTACATACCGGGCGCCCGGTTTGTAGACGGAAAACTCGGTCTTGAGTGCAGCTTCAGGTCCAAAAATGTTCCCCCATGTTCCCCCTAATGGCAAAACTTTGAAACCTCAAACAGTGACAGTGCATGGCGTTAAAATCGCAGGTGTGCAGGGAATCATGTGTTGGAAAGAGTTGGCTCATCGATGTTCAACATGATCGCGATCTCCCTCCCCAAAAAGCGCAATTGCCAACCATTTTGTCTGCACCGGGGGCTGAGCTACAGTACTTAAAAATGTTCAGACTCCACAACGGGGACTCCCCGTCTAAAGCGTGTCCGATGTCAATGGCCTCCAACCTAAGAGCGATGGCCTCCGACCTGAGAGCGATGGCCTCCAACCTAGTAGCTTCTATTTCTGTAGCTTCTTGTTACCCATCAAAACTCCACCGTCTCACTGAGACTTCAGCCGCCCAGTGGCCACACCTTCACCGGCAGCGAACCGTGAAACAGATCGCCTCGCATCACCAGCAGCCGGTTCCGCTTGGGCACACAAAGGTGGCCACACGCAGGCAAGGACGGCGTGAGATGCCCTGGCAAGTTCACCCAGAATTTGGATTGGAGTGAGCGGAGGTGAGCTAAGATGAGCTAACAATCAAGCAGTCTGATTCTCACATGTGGAAGCAGTCCGCAAAGGACACCCCTTCAGGCTGAGGACGAGATTGTCTCCCAACATCGGGCGCGGGCGAAGGTTCAGCTCACGCCTTCAGGTGAGAGGACTTGCTCCAGGACCACCGTGGGCCCACCAGTCGTGAGGTAAAAAACGCAGGACGTCCAGGGGCGCCAGGGGTTGCCCTGGACCCATTCACGCTCCTGGAAGAGGGTCCGGTGCTGCTGTCATCTGCTTTCTCAAAACAACGTAAACATCGGATTGATTGTCTTGAAATCCGATCTGGTCAACGGTCATTTGTGCTCGGAGACTGCTGATTGCCTTTGTGACGACCTTTTGGATCCTTTGGAATCCTTTGTGCCGGGCACTCTGAAACGGCGGTCGCCGGTGTGGTCTGGACAAAGCCCACCAACTTCAAAGGAACCTCTTTATAATCACGGATGAGTTTCATCACTTATGTCCGGCTATTTGCCTCGCGTCATGACAATATTGCCTCACGAAAAAATACACAGTATGCTTATCGTGTAGATTTAGGTTGCGAGGACTTATATCGCACCATCTGGCTGAGGAAAAGTATCATCCCTTCCCTAAGGAGGGGGGAGGTCCTGCTCAAATAACTCACTTTCTTGGGGGCGGGGGTTTGGTGAAGAAGGATCCCTCAACCAGTCTTGTTAAGCTCTTATGTTATTTTCGGATGCAAGCACCGCCAAATGGACCAAAATATCACTGTCATGCTATTGTCATAGCATGTTAATTACGTTTCGCATCCATATGTGCAGTTTTAAAAAAATAGTATATATATATATATATCGTGTGTGCGCGTGTGCTATTGAGATCTTCCCAACTCGTCCTCTGCATCCACATCTGCATCATAGTGGAACCGAGCACCCAGGTTGAAGGAGCGCACCCGCGCCCAATACTCCACGCCAGCAAACTCAGTGATCTCCTCCTGGAGATGTTTAGGTTGCTGGATGCTTTTGCCCCTGCAGTGCCAGTCTGCCAAAATAATACCCCACAGGGCTAACAGAGCGAATGGCCGCTCCAGGACAAATGTTCTGCAGGGTGCTAGCCCACTCAGAGTGTAGACCATGGCATGGAGACTGTCACACTTCCAAGGTACGCAATGGCCCTAAAGCCATCTAAAGCTGTCTAAAGCCTGAAACACTGGTCTTCTCATGTCTTCTCCCAAAGGCCTTCAGGAGGTGTCGCAGGATGCTTCGGGCTGCTACTTCTGCGGCGTTGGATGGGGCCCTCTGCGATGGCAGCCACCTCGATAACTCGGAACATTCAGCCTGGCCTGCACGCCACAACCACAAGAGCATAAGACCAACAAGAAAAGGAAAACAACCATCAACCAACCAGCCAAGTCAAGCTTAGCCAACCAACCAAAACAAACAAACAAATAGACAAACTGAACCAAACCAACCCACATGCAAACCAACCAAACCAACCAATAAATGCCCTGGTGACCTGTCTTTAACTACAGCGGAGCACCCTGGTAGTTCACCAAAATGAAGCTTCCCCTCCTGAGTCATCGCTCCCAGCCCAAGAAGGGATCACAAGGACCACATGGGTCATGCCACCCCTTTTCAGCGTGCAACCCCTCAATCTCAAACACCACTGATGAACTCTTCCCATGTTCCTAGTGCACATCGCCGATTTGAATTGTGTTGGGATCGGTTCTCCAAACAAGGCCGTCTCATTGCACTTCCCAAGGCAAAGTAATGTCCTTGGAATTCTACTGCTGCGCTTTCTTAAGGGTGGTCTAGAATTAATTACAGTAGAAGAGCCTTTGGTGATTGACTGAATTTTGGCTCCGCTGGGGCAAGAAAAGCTACCGAAGTTTTATCATTGGTTCTTTCACACCTCAAATCTTCAACCCTCCGGCCATGCGCTGATGCGACCATCGCTGGGCTATCACCCTTCCAGCCAAAGCGACATGTTCGCCGCCGGACCCTGATGATCTTCGTCGGCTCCAAACACATGCCGGTTCGTGAAGATGTATTCAAAATGGTCCTTCACCGATTCCTCCAGATGCCTGTGCTAACAGTATGAGCATGTAGTTAAGAGGCTGCCCCTTGTTCCTCGATTTCTAGCGCGACGTTGGACATGAGTTTACAGCTAACATCCTGAGGGTTCAGTATCGTAAATTATGTCGAATAGCCGGTTATGGTCATTGAATGCAACATCATCACACACGCCCATCTATGTGACTCTGCAGGAACTCCGACAATTGAGGTGAAGTGAAGGGTTTCAATCCACGAAAGCATGCCATCTTCTTGATCCTCTCCATCCATTTCTTAGATCTCGAGGACGGGGGAGATCGGGGGAGCATTAGTTGGGCACACCTTGCCTCAGCAATTCCTCGCAAAGCACATCATCCCAGGCCATCACCGAAAAGCTTCGATCTGAAGCTATGTCCCGCGGCGGATCGTAGGCATTCCTCAGTCGAAGGTGTGGTGGACCTCCTTGTGTCCAGTATAGCATGGCTCTGGCCCATGCCATGGCAGCACTACAACATGTTACGACTGGTCCCATTAATGAAACTGAGAATGCTTGGCCAGCCTCCACTTATGGGGGGGTGAGGTCCACAACAGCCAAGTGCAAACAAGTCTCTCTTGCCATTCCCTGTCAACATGCCTGAAATGCAAAGAAGCAAAGCACTTCTGACCAAGATTGGAGCGAGTTATCTTTGGGGGTCTTGATGGATCTTGGGTGCAAAACAGGAACTCACTAGTTAATCGCAAGAGCGTACGCGGCTTCGAATTTTAGATGAGGTCAAAACACAAGTCTCCCACGACCCCCCAAGAAAAACACTATAAATATAAGTAGGTAGGTAGGTAGGTAGGGAGGTAGGGAGGTAGGGAGGTAGGGAGGTAGGGAGGTAGGTAGGGAGGTAGGGAGTTAGACAGTTAGTTAGTTAGTTCGTTAGTCAAATTCCATGCATCCTGGTTAGACCATCTTCAGTCTTCCTTCGTTTCAGGAGCCAAAGCGCAGCTTGGGTGCTTGGCCGCCACCTGCAAGTCTTCAGCCACTCCCTCGCTCCAAACCTCCATAGGTAGCACATAGACCTGAAGGCCGAAAGCTTGGAATGGGAAGGAGTGGACACAAAAAAATCTTCCCAAAGGTTCAAGGGTGTAGAAGTTCAGACTGTTGAAGCTGAAAGTTGATGTCCGGCCTGCGACAATAGTAGGTTAATTAGCATAGGTGTTCGAACACGGATTCAATCCATAGACTTCTCCAAACAATGGTCGTAGAGTTCGTCCAAGCACTCTGTCACTTCAAGAAGTGTATGTGTTTTTCCTGTTCTCTCAGTTCTCTCCCATGAAATGAGTCAGCCTTCGCATGTTCCCCCGACATGATAATGTTCCGCCTGCTGATGTTCCAGCAAGGCATCGCGGGGCCGCGTCCGGGCGGTGTCCAGAGACGCCAACTGCCGATAGCCCGCCAAGGCCTCGCCGTTAGAGCCACGCAACTGGGGTGTTCCCAGGTGAAACCCACTAGTCTAGGGTTACCGGTGGAAACTGAGTGGAATGAAGAACAGGGAAGCACGGAGCGTGCTGCAGTCTGTAGAGTTGGAGGGTCCGCACGAAAGAAACCACCCAGCTGGGAGCTTCAAGTTCAAACCATCTTAAGGACCATCGGATGGACCATCGGATGGACCTCTGCCAATCATTAGGATCACTATCCAAATGCTGCCGGCACCCTCGGACGATGCTTGGGAAAGCTCTGAGTACTTTAAACTCTAACACATTCATTGCCCTACAGTTGGAGAAATTTGGAGATGCTCGTTCAAGGAATGAGCAAAAAAAAAATGCCATGGAAAACCGTTCGTTTCGGGGTGGCGCAATGGTTTTCCGTGCTCTCACGTCCACCGTGCGTCCCACCTACCCGGCCTCTGAAAGCCGCCCACGGTGCTCCTGAGCGCGGGAGCGCGCCTCCCATGCGCCCAGGTGCTTCGGCTGGAGCTCTAAAACTAGGTCCATCCAGCGCAGCCTGAGAACAACGGCAAATTGTGTGACTGTGTGTGTGTGACTTAAATAGTGTCTGTGCGTGTGTGTGTGTGTGTCGCTGAGTCACGCTTCCTCACACCATCCAAGTCGAACGGTCCGGCCTCTGGAACATGATTCTTTTCAGAGGCAATGTGTATCTCAACAATGAAAACGTTAGGCTGGGGAGAGGCGTTCCCTTATAACTTGGGAGGAACATCTTGTAACTTATAACCTATAATATATAAATATAATCATAGCATATTGGTTGGGATGTGGGCATCCCTATGCTGACAATATGTCAGATACACTTTGAGAATCAACACGGATGTTTCACCCTCATGCTGCATGAGGATGTTTTTGGAGTGAGGCCTCTAGCACAAACACCCATGAGCTCTGATGTGTTCAGTGTGGGATCTTCCAGAACAACCGCAGATCTCCTTCGGAGAGGTATATTTAGTCAAGCCCACTCAAATTCTACATATTAATATTATTAATCACATTATGATCAGTAAGGCAGTGTTGGAATGTGACGACTAAAGCCCAACAAACATAGCCTGAATCCCAATGAAGTGATTAGCATAATGTGCTGGGTAACATTGGGTAACAATGGCGTGGCCATGCGGTGAACAGCAACTACCCGTCACCGGGTGCCCCGGCTTTCACAGCGAGGGCCCCGGAGCTCCAACCCGTCACACACGTCGAACCTCTTGAGTCGGATCTCCACAGGTGAGGAATCGCCCCCGTTCCGAACACGTCTTCCAGATCCAAGATGCATCTCCATGGGGCGATGTGACACTTCCAGGAAAACACCTTGCCAGCGACGTGGCACAGCGCAGCAAATCAGACCCGTGGGCAAAAGGCGAGTGTGGCACAGCCTATCCTGATGATTCATACTGCCGGTTCACTGTATAGACTTCAGTAAGCACCAAACAAGCCTTTTAAGATAGAGAGCCATAGAATTAGCGACCGCGGTTCGTGCTGAAGAGGTCACAGTTGACTTTGAACCAGCTGCCTTGGCGACGCAAACGTCGAAGGTGGAAAAAATAGAAAGGGCTAGTCCGGAGCATCCCTCGCCGAACCCGCCAGGCATCCAGGATGAGCCAGGGCACCCATCCCAAAGATGGCCTCCACGTTGCTGGGATCTTGCAGCACTGCGCTGGCAAAAAGCCCGAGCAGCTCCGAGCTGCTTGGAAGGCGCTCCTTGGCCTCCTTACCGCCCTTGGTGTTGCGGAGGCTGGTGAAAGCTCTCCTGAGATTGGTCCGGTGATTAGGAATCCATGCAAAGCTGACGACAAAGATGTGGCGTGTAGAGCAAAATAATGTATGCCGCAAGTGTTCAATTGTGACCCTTCATCTTGATCATTTCTGTTCATCCCAAGCGTCTGTAAGAGCTCAGATGAAGAGCCTTCCAGCAACTCGAACTCCCCCAAGTCCAGCAGCATTCGCTGCAGCCTGCACAATTATGGGACATCCCTCAACCTGATTCGCACGGATGGTGCGTCAAAAGATGCAAACTTTCGACTGCACCCCTGCATAGCCTGGACCGCAAAAGTTCTTTAATCAAAGGAACCGATGTGCAATACACATGCTACATCATGTTGCACCAATCCCGCCTCTCTTCTTCGCTTTCTGCCTCCAGGAGCTCTGGCGCTTGGGAGACGACCCCGCTCCGCAGAAAAGCCCGCTGTTTCCAGCCGCGCACCGAGCGCGTGCGCGGTGCAATCAGCACCGCAACCGCAGCGGTTTTCGGCCACGTGTGAGACGTGCACGAGTGTCGCGCAGGCTGCAAGGGGAGGTGGCCGGGAATGAATGCCGTGCATGGGGTCAACGACATTCCAAGCTCAAGTCAAGCAGGTTATTTACGGTTAGTTGCCCCTCCTGTGAAAAAATCCAACATGCGTGAGAATGGCTGCTTGCAAAGCCACCCAAGACATCAATCAAAATTCGCAAGCTGGCATCCAATAGTGGGGAGAGGCCCACATCACCGTTGTCTAACCCTGAGCATCGTTCAGGTAACTCCCACAAATGGATGAACCTGGCCCCAACTGACGCACATGATCTCCCCCGTTGCCAAAAAAGACGGCTGGACTTTGAGCCGCATAGAGATGTCTTTTATGTAGTGCCATAATGTGCCAATATGGCAACAGCCACTTACGGCTGCACCCCTGCAAGGTGTCCCATGTCCCATTGTTCTTTGCGAAAGTGCAATGCCACAATGCCACAAGTTTACAATGGTTATATATACATGTTTGTTGCCGCAAATCTTCACGTTGACATGCTCGCAGGCGCAGAATCACGTGGCGCAAAAAATCCACCGCTGCACCCCTTTTGGTCCGATCTGGGTCCAACCAGCGGCACGCCCCAGTCGAAAGGGCCTCAGCATCGTCCGAAGTTTCTCGCCCGTGGACTAGTCCCTGGGCAAGAGACGACGTGGTTACTTGGGGCTCCATGTGCGAAATGGGATTTGGCCAACGGCAAGAAATGTTTACAGTCGGCGGAATTCTACTTATACTGATCCAATAAGGTCTTGAGAAGTGCCACAGTATTTATACCTGGCATGGCCTTCAGCTTTTGCATCTTTTGCTTGGTTTGCAGCCTGACAGCTTGGCAAATGCTCCCATCAGTCCCCACTCGAAGCCATGAGATCCTGAAACAGCCCAAGTTCCAAACATCCCCATCAGATCCCATCAGTATTTCGAGAACTTCGGCCGGCAAAGCTTGATCTTCGACCAACCTACCCAAAACCTGGGTTCTGTCTACAGTGGTGTTTCAAACCAACAGGGGTAATTTTTTCGAAAACTATGCTTGCTCCAAAGGCCCAAAACTATCCACAACTCCACCACAGCTCCACCAACCCCGCCCCCCATGGAGAGATCTGCAGTCCCAAGCTCCCGTCTCCAGACATCTCCGGCGCCAGCACAACCTGGTCGGAGGTCGGGACTTTGGTCGGGTCTGGAGGCTGTGGTGACATTGGTGAAAACAACATGTCCTACCGATGGATTGTATAACACCCCTCCTGCCTCCCGTTGTGGGTGCGTTGTAGGTATATATCCGAAATTGAAGCCCACGAGCCTCGCACAGAACATCTACCCCTCCCCAAAATGAAGTACAGTAAATGATAACTTATAACCATCCAATAAGACAAGCAGGCACTCCACCTTCCAGCACTGCGTGACTATGAGAATGGTTCTAAACTCGCCCAATCCCTCCAACGCCCACCTTGTAGCCCCCAAAAATGGCAGCCCACCAGCCTGCATGCAGGAAGTCGTTGGATTTATGTCGTCACAGTGCAAATATAGTTACTATGCAAATGGTCAACCCTGGTACCACAACTTTCCAGGAAAGAAAGGAACACACAATATTAACTAATGCTTCGCCTTGGAACTAGAGAGTTGCTCATGCGAAAAATGCGGGGAGGCATCCTTCCCGCTGGGAGGGGTCTCTTGAAAGAAAGGTTCTAGATGCAGCCCACTCCACGGAAATTGCTTGAACTTTAGACCAACCAGTTTCAAAGTCAAATGAGTTAGACAAGCATTCAACAGCAAGGCATTTTCGGGAAACAAACTTAGCAAGCCCATCAGAAGGTTGAGAACCGGCCGTGTGATCCATCAAAAGACTCAGGAAAACGTGGAAACAAATAACTAGTGACAGTAATCGTCAGCAATCAATCTAATTGAAGTAGTAAATCCAAAGGTCTCGGGGATGGACGCCTATACATGCCTATACTATATATCCAATTTTGAGTCAAGCAGCTGAAGGTCGAATTGCTCAGCACGATGCCTGCGCAGCAAATGGCCATCACCGCCAAGACCACATCATCGCGCAAGCTCAGGTCGTTGAAGGTTGCCTTGGTCGGAGAATCAACGTCGACGGCATTGGCTGAAATACATTGACATACAATCCCTGAACATTTCCAAACTCGTGGCACAAACGTCGGCCAACTCCAAATCAGGCTCTGCCGACTGTTCCTTGACATAGGGCGGTGGGCACGTGTGAACACCGAACATCTGCAGGTCGGCATTCAAAAGCCATGAAGCCACAAGAAAATGATGAATAGTGATGGGGCCTCAATAAGCCTCATAGCTGGTGACCCACGGTGATGATCATGCCCATCGACGACCTATATACACTGTATCTCCCAGATCTAGCGAAGGTGGCCATCCTGGCAACACTCTTCTCTCTGCAGTGGAGCTGCAGGAAAAGCTCTCCCACAGGCTAGAGAGGACTTGAGATGCTAACTGCTAACAAACAAATGACAGCCTATGTCCTATGTACTTGCATTTCATGCTCCATGTGAAAAGGACTAGATCAACCGGGGCTCAACGACGCCAAGCTGCATGATCCTTGCCACAGACCTTTGTCTTCCAGCGCCTCTGAAGCCTGAGCTTGGATTGACTCAGGTGCCCACTGGGGTGCCTCTGTACTTGAGCAGAGTTTTGCTTTTTGGATAAAGCTTTAGCCCCTTGACGTGAGGGAATATCGACGGACCCAGGCTTTGTGATGGCTGAAGCTTATGGCTTATGAACATATCGCGAACTGACCCTACTGCCATACTGCCGGGGCTAAGCTGCATTTCATTAGTGCCAGTGTGCAGTTTGGATAAAAACAGGCGCAATAGTTGTCACACATTAACTTTTACCTTTCACTACTTATCAAAGGTGCAACCATCACAGAGTCACTTCTCCAAATGAAATGATCAACATGACCTCACGGACTAATGCTGAAAGACTATCTTCACAAGTGGCAGAATATGAAAACCGGTCACGACAATCTTGAAACCTGAAACACCCCGACTTGATGGACGTGAGACTACATCAAAAAGCAGAACGCTGACCACTAGTTCATACCAGTTCGATGGACAAGCGGCTTCTTTGGCTCATTGGTGAAGAAGACGCAGCCCATCCGCGCAATGGACAGTTGCTCTTTGGCGATGCGAATGGCCTCTTGGAAATAAGATGTGCTCAAACGCCCACCGTGATTGAATCTCACCTGAGTTGGTTGGAGCGCTGTGCTTCCAAACTTGATACACATGGAATGGTGTGGATTGGTATATTGGTCTCAAAACATGAAGGGCCTCATCAAGCGGGGTCAGATACCGTTGCTTGCGGAGATCTCTGGTCTAAGACACCCCCGACTTGTACTTTCGCTCGCTCATAGCCTGCGCGGGTCCAAACTGTGGGGAAATGATTGGTTCTTGCAAAAAAATGCCGGAACAGCTGAAATCCGCACAACAAAAAAACAGTTGATGAACGAGTAAATTCAGAACCTCTGGTGGCAAGTAATATTATGCCTACCCCGAAGTCCGAAAACTCAGTGTATCTGGACTTCCCTTGCCTCTTTTCATCTCTTTTCTTCACATTTTTCCTTGGGTGTGATATGACAAGGCAATTTAGAGGCGACTGACGTCACCAAACACTCCGAATGGCTTCTTGAGGTTGCAGCTAGCCAAACAGTAGAAACAGGTGGATGGATCTGGTGCAGCCCAAACCATATGGCCATCGGGCGTCAGTGATAAACAATGTTGCCTCTTTGAAGTGACCACACCAGCCACTCACGGATACACGGTATATAACTAGCTATATACATCCATGCAAAAATGTCCTATATGCCCTTTTACACAAACGAACTCAAAAATCCAATATGAAAGGTAGCCAGGTAATCGCTTAGAAGAACGGCACCCCAATGCACCACAGCCCCAATCCAAATACATCCAAATACTTTGCTTCAGCAATTGCCAGGCACATGTACAGCTAGGTGCTGGATGGCCTGTCATGCCGGCAGCATGGCAGTGGGCTTCGTCCTATGTGGTTGATCAAGATTCCACCAGGACAAGGCTGCTTCGCCACAGAAACTAAGGGTAATCACATGTTTATCTCAAGCTGTCGCCCCAAAGTAATAATTGTGTCCCATCGAAATGTCCAGCATCATCCACATCTACTTTGCAGGCACTCCAAGCTATATACCAACAGTGACCCAAGTCGGTCTCCGTCTACTAGATGTTAGAATGTGACACGCACGATGCTTCACATGTGAAGGCAACGATTGTGAACCAAATGCTAAGTAACACTGGCTAACATGATAACATGAACTACTCCGCTCTTGATGTTCATTGGAACACGGTTGTTCGGGACAGACCTCAAACGAGTAAAAACACATCCACAAAACAGTACTGTATTGACTTTAAAATCATGCTGACCAAAAAGATGATGGCTCAGGTTAAACCAATTACACACACAAATCACAACATTGTCTTCACATCGCGAAGTTTGCTCCAGTGAGCTGCACATTCCTAACCGTTTTCAAAATGGCGCGCATGAGATTTGTCGCTGCTGCCTCTGTGTGCGTTCTTTGCGGCATGCGTGGCTGCCGGGAGCTCCAAGCACTTCTCGCCTGGAGACTCCGAAGGTTCCCGATATTGCCTGTCATATTCACTCAAAAAATCGAAAGCGGTGTCCGATACATAGTTGGAGGATGTTGGAGGGGATTGGCTTTTCTATCATTTTAATTCATTTTCCATTATCCAATTGTATATTGGTGCTCCTCTATGGCTGTGGGTCCTCGGCTGGCCTACCTGGGAGGTCGTTCGCTACATGGTGGGGCTCAAGGTTTTGACTGATCCACGACCCGCAGCCATAGAATCAGGTCAACCAGTCGATGGATCCCAGAAATGAGGCCGGAAGGATAGTTTTGGACATGCTCCAACCTAGCAACTGTCGATGGAGTCAACGATTGGGCTGATGGGGTGACCTGGTCAGAATAGTAGTGATGTCTACATTACAATTCTCATTGTGGCACAACAATAAACCTCAATGAAACATACTAGAACCATGTGCATTTGCCTCTTGGTGTCGAGAAAATCGTCCGAAAGAGTTGTGACGAAAGATTCTGTTAGAAGATCAGGAGATTGGAATGGTTTGGTGGCAAGCATGTCAAAAGTACAACAAATAAATGAAGAGTAAGGCCCTTAAGGCACATGGCGGCAAGTGAAATGTAGCACAACGGTTTGCTTGCATCCTCTTAGGATGCCATGTAGCCAATCTGGCTGGCCAGTTGCTCCACTGAGTATTCATGCATGTTTGGCGTGCAGCTAGGTTCTTGAAGGTTGTGCAACTTTGACAAAGACGGAGAGGACTAGCTCTCCGACAGGCGCAACTTGAAGCTCCCGACCCAAACAACTCACCAAGACAAAGTGAACCAGGAGAATCTGATCGGGGGTGACCCTGCCCCAAACAAGTTGAATCAATCTCCAATGATCAAAGGTGAAGCCAGGTCCCATTCCCTTTTCAGTTTTGCTGAAGCCAGTGAGCTCAGGTAGCTAAGGCCACCAATACCTTTTGTGACAACATATAGTTCATTATTCATGGTCATCTGCATAATTGTTCGAACAGCTTGCTCCCAGAGCCCTCAAGTCAAGAGAGTGCTTGATACATCCACTGGACACATCATAGCCAAGTGTCCTGCGCGTCCAAACTGGGAGGAAAAAGGATACCTCAATGGCTGTTTGCCGCTACAAATAGCACCCCCTCCCCTCCTCCAGCTAGAAGCTTGCGCAGAGGAAGACAAATAATTGACAAGAAACTTTACGCCCTACATTATAAAAAATAATTCCCTGTAGATATGTAGCTCCTGTATTGACTGGGGGGGTTGTTTCATCAGTCATGGTGGCCACGGCTCCTCCACTGTATAGTCACAAATCCCGCGTAAGGCGAGGTGCTTGTAAGCACAGGAAAATGATGATGGAAATAGCGGATCCTCAAAGCAAACTCAACCAGGTACATCATTTTTCGAATTCGGACCGACGCAACACTTGGAGTCCGTAGGCTTTGCAAACCATTTACCGTGTGTCACACATTGAGGTACACGCATGTGCACTCACTCGGCACAAATCCCATGAAGTGAGCGTTCGTTCGTTCGCGCGTTCGCATCCGGTGAACAGAAAAGAAAAGATTTGCTCTGCAAGTGGAAGGATCTCTTGGAAGTATCCATGGACCACCACCTGATTCGCAGAGGTGCGGCCATTGAAATTCCTGAGAGCTCTCTATTTCTATCTCCCTCCAATAAACCACTGCATCAACACTCAGCAATTCCCATGGTCCATATTTAAAGAACCTATTGAGGCCAGTGAAGGAACATAAATGACAAATGCACCAAAGGTGTCAGTACCTGAAAGAGATGAGGATCAACAAGGGAATCCGTGAGGAGCCACATCAACCAGTGGGGTTGGAGTGGTGAACCCATGCTCCATGGCTGATATGGCTGCTTCGATCACATGCAAGTCTCAAACATTCCGTACAAAAACAGAAAGCCAAAACTTTCTCTTAAACTACAAAATTTATGCGCCAGTGTTGTTGTCCATCCAAATCATAGTTATTCTGCGCCGACATGCTAATTACTCTCTCTCTCTCTCTCTCTCCATCGCCTTCACATAATCTCTGCCGGTGTTGTTGGCACAAAAAAACAGCACTCCTGCAAAACTCTTCCTCCCGGAAGCAGGCCTTTCGAGCATCTGATCGGACCTGTGGCTCCGCGTAGCGCATGTGCGAAGGGCTGCCGACGATCTGATCCATGTCATTCAAGCTGCCACGGCTGTTGGTGCATCATGGGAAGCTGCTAGGATACAACTCAAGAGCGTGCGTGTGCCAGAAGCCACACGTGGTGCCCACAGGAATGCTTTAAGTTCCACCATGAAAGCCATGCATATGGTGAATGACAGACAATCTTGCTCAAGGAATGACTTGCATTAAATAAAATCTCTTATATATTATTGTATATAATTCTTATAGAACCTCGCTCTCACACCCTCTAAACATGCCGCCACTACAGTACAGTTCACATCTGCCAATTCCCTCAAATTCCTCCTTGATTTTGCCACTCAAACCGTAGCCCGTCTGACGCCTTCAAAGCTCAAAGAAGACACGACTCTTGACTGGCATTGCCAGGGTTGTTCCCTGGCCTGGTGTACCAAAACGATGAGGGCAACTCCGAAAAAATGCCGCCATCTTCGGAGTAGCGGAACCAGGAGATGCTCACCTGGCACCCACGGCTCCCGAAAAGAGCTCCCTGGAGATCCCCGATGAACAAGAATCAAGTTGAGCCACTGATCTTCCATGGCCGCGTGTGTTCCAAGCCCATTTTTGGACCCCAAGAATCACCCCAAAATCACCCAACCCGAGGCGTTCCCTGGTTTGCACCTTTCTCTGAGATGCAGGTTCCACACACCAATCTGAACAAACACATATTTAAAAAAGAAAACTCGACTCAGGTCTGACCAAGCACCACCAGATTGCTCCTGTCCAACCTGATACCCATAATGTGAATACCTGGAAAGTCTTTCGGCCACCACCCCGCTGTCTGCCACTGCCACCAACCCAAAAAGGCCCTGTCAATCCCACCGGCAAGCGGAAGCTCAGGTTGTGATCCGCAGCCTGAGTCCAGCATTCAGGTCGGTAGAACAGGCGCACCACGGCGTAAGCAGCGAACCACTGTGGGGATCGATCTGGTCGACTCCTATTACCCACATGCCCATGGCAACCAGCTGCAACTCACCTTCAAACCACTCCAGATAATAGGAACGCGGCAAACTCCCATCACCCCAAAACCCTCCAAAACTAATACGGACCGTCTGATTATGTGGCTTTCAGGGCGGCATGGTGCTCCACGGCTGCCTTTGCTAAATCGCCCAACCTGAGAAAGAGGGAATAGCACCGGATCCTGACAATTGCTGGCCAATCAAGATCAAAGCTCACATGAAACAATGGTAAGCCCACATCTTTAGCTCCCAATTCAGCCTTCCACTCCCAACTCCCAAAAACTCTAATCCAACTCACCAAAAAGAGAACACAGCCAAGCGAGACCCGTGGCTGAGGTCACACAACCGCCAAGAGAAACATTGCCCTACTGAACACATGCATTCCAAGAAAATGATGACCAGTTGGTCAACCCAACACATTGGAACATCCCTACCCTATCCTGAGGGGGGGCGTCGAAAATTGTAAGTTACATTTTCCTGCGCGCAGGGCCTCAAAAAATGTAATTACATTAACTTTGAGGTGGCCTCAAAAAAGGTAACTTACATTTTTGAGGCCTCATGGGTGATTTCCTGGGGAATGACCTCAAAAATGTAAGTTACATTTTTGAGGCACAGAGGAGCGCTTACAATTTTAGACCCCCCCCATCCCCACACTAATTTCTGCTCACGACACAACTCCATACACAACTCCTTCTGCAGCAACAAGCCACACAAAAACAAAGCAGATGAGGGAACAGCAGTGGGTCTGAGCCATCATCAACAAAGAAGAACAGGAAGCACACCCAAAGCAAACTGCCAAGAAACAGGAACATACATGTTCCCACTGAAGACCCCAAAGGAAGGCAACAAAGCGAAACCCAAACATAACAGACGATCACACTCCATACACAATAAACAATAATGGAGAACAATAAAGGAGAGGCTGCCTGTTCTATTGGGCGGGAGAACAAGGATATTCAACGCCGTTTGATCCCCTGGTTTCTTGCCCCCTGCTTGCGGTTCGTGTGGTCGGACGTGTGTGCTTTTCAGTATGCTAAAATGTAAGTACCTCAGGGGGACACCCCAGTTCCTTGTAAATTCTGGGGAGTTGGGCATGTGGCCAAAATGTAAGTTACAATTTGTGAGGTCAAACTTTCTCACAGAACCCATGTATTCCCTGTAAAATCTGAGGGTCTGGATGCGTGGACTAATTGTAAGTTACAATGTTTGACGTCTGCAAATCTCACCTTTCGCCTGTGTCCTGGTCCTGCATTTTTGGAGGCTATGTTTTCCTGTGTTGAGGCATCAGCAAACAGTTGCCAAATAATACTTTTAGTTAATTACTTATATTTAGAAAATATGTCATTAAGTGACTCCCACCCGCAAATAATTTCTTAGTGATTGGCGTATCTTCGATCTGCCAACGCACCCTAGGGGGGGGAGTAAAAAAAATGTAAGTTCAGGCCTCCCAGGTCCCAAGTTACATTTTCCAGACCCCCCCCTCCTCGATCTGCCGACCCCCCGGGGGGGGTTGGAAAAATGTAAGTAAGCACGCCAGGCAACAAGTTACATTTTTTTCCCCCCCCCCCCCCCCCCCCCTTGACTGGTTTCGATGGTGCCTGGGGGGGGGGCAACTTACATTTTTTGACCCCCTAGGGGGGTACCCTAAAATGTAACTTACTTTTTTGAGGTCCCCCCTCCGGGAAGTAGCTCAAGGGGGTAGGGATATTGGAACATGTACACGTCCCATCCTCACCCGAACCATCCTGCGCATGCCAACGGCCCAAGGCACCAAGCTCATGGCTGCGGCCAAGGTGAAGAGCGCATTACCCACGCCCACGCCATGGTCACCCAGCTCCCGGAAGCTTGGGACCAAGACCCGCGCGGGTCGGCGATGGTGGGTGGCAAAGAAGCCGGGAGGCCTGGTGGCGGTGGACTTCTGCAGCAAATAGTAGCCTAAGCCAGGAATGTTTGCGTCCTTAGCTCCTATAGTAGTAAGGCCCAGAAGCCCCTAGTAGCGTCCGATCGCTCCTAGTAGCCTAAGCTAGGAATGATACAAACTGCACAGGCGTTGTTGCCATCTTCGGGGAGCGCCACACGAGGTCCAAATCAAAGGTGACCGATTTTCTTTTGGAAAAGAACTGTTTGGTTGCTCGGGGTGAAGTATCAAAAAAGGTTATTTACCGCATCAAAAAATATTATTCGAGGGGATCAATTAAAACTAATTACTTAATCAAAAAAAAACTATTCTGCCACGAGCTCTCTGGGATAGAGCTAGCTAATTACAGCAATTTCGTGTCCTTAGCAGAGACACAGGTGTCGTAGCCGGCCCAATACATTAGAATAGTGCAGGTTTCATATTGGTTGCTAGTTGATTAGACTAATTCGGGAGCTGTCGTAGCTGGCAAAATACATTGGAATAGTGTAGGTGTGAGAGAAATTCCTACCTATCACAATAGTTTGGTGCAGTTAGCAGAGAAAGAGCAAAGAGAAAGATAACTTGCACAGGAGGCGTATTTGGTTGGTTAGAAGTTTTTGCGCCGGGGAGTTCACCATAGAATATTGATTTCGTTCCCGGCGTGAGTGTCGGAGATAAAGTGCAGATTTCGTGGCGCGGGGTTGGGGGGGGGCGCAGCGCTCCCCCCAGCAGCACACCAGATCCAAAGGTGAGCAGCTTGTGCTTGCTTGCTTGTTTGCTTTCTTGTTTGGTTTCTTCTCTGCAAAGCAAACAAATGGAAAAAGCAAAAACAAAAAGAGAAAGGAGAACAGCTGCCAAAGCAGAAAAGCAACAAAAGCAAAGAGCAGAAAGACAAAAACACAAAAAGCAGAAAAGCAACAAAAGCAAAAAAGCAGCAGAAGCAGAGAAGCAGCAAAAGCAGAAAAGCAACAAAAGCAAAAAGAACGCAGAAGCAGAAAAGCAACAAACGCAAAAAACAGCAAAATCAGAATCAAAAAATACAAAAGCAAAGAAAAAAAAACATGCACCTCCATTAACATGGTTGATGGTTCTTTTGTTTATTGTTGTTTAATTCTATTCTTCATTTTCCTTGTGGTCCTTCCTTTGTTACGTTGTTTCTTCGGCTGCCTTGCTTCCATCCTTCCTGCCTTCCTCACTTCCTACCTTGATCCCTTCTTTCCTTCCTTCCCTTCCCTTCGACCAGGGGACCAGGGACCAAGGGGACCAGGGGACCAAGGGGACCAGGGAACCAAGGGGACCAGGCGACCAAGGGGACCAGGGGACCAAGAGGACCAGGGGACCAAGGGGACCAGGGGACCAAGGGGACCAGGGGACCAAGAGGACCAGGGGACCAAGGGAACCAGGGGACCAAGGGGACCAGGACGACCATGTGGACCAGGAGCAAGCATACAAGAGACGGGAAAGGAAAATAGTTACTTTTTGATTAGCTAATTAATTTGTTTTTGATTACGTAATTAATTTTGTTTTGATTCAGTAATTAATTTCTTTTTGATACACATGCCGTTTGCTCGCATCACAACTTGCTTGTCAGATTTGGTTCACACCTTCCCTGCTAAAATGGCAGCTGTCAGCAACTAACCACACCTGCACGTTGCCTTGCCCACCAAACCCCATTTCCTTGCAACCTGGAGGCAGCCTTCAGGGAAGTAAACGATGCCCACTGTGGTTCCAGCATCTGGACGGCGGCCTGGATATCTCCAGCGCAAGGTACCCCACTCTTTGGGAGAAAAGGGGCCCTTTTGGAGCTAGGAGGGCTCACGACAAAGCATGACCCTCCCACTACATGCACTTTCGGTTACAGTTAATAATTACCAACTTTATAGACACATGCAGGCATCGGTATTCTGGAACTGGCTGAGGCATTTGGGCATGTCACCGATCAAGCATGTATGCCTGGATCTCACTCTCTGCGAAAAGCTCTACCACTCCGAGCGCCAAACCCGGACGAAACTTCCTTGCGATCGAGCGGCAAGGGGCGATCAGGACTTCGTCCGAGCGGACCTGGACCCAAAGCAAAATAAGAATCAGGATCGATTCTATGGCTATAGCTTGAGTATATCCCATTATCAGTCTCAGTAATTAACAGTGGAGGATGATGGTTAGTCGCTAGTATATAAATGTTTTTCTCACAAATAGTGATTGTCGTTTACTGACTATTACTGGTAATGGGCTACACTATATAGCTATATATGTATATAACTAAGTATATAGCTATATAATCAGCTAATTATAGCTATATAAGATATATATTATATATATGAGGGACGGTCAAAACTCCTTATTCTTCTTCAGCTAAAAAAAGGACGTCATCGGTTTTGAGGTGGACCTTATCGTTTTACAGGGTTTTGAGTTCGTCGCATACTTATGACCATATACAGCGCTGGGGTTATCGGTTTTGAGGTGGACTTTATCGTTTTGCAGGGTTTTGCGCACAAACCTACCCCTCTTTACTAAAGTGGTCTTCGCATGTTTTGACCGTGGCTCATATATAAGCTTCGCCTTCCTGAGCCGAACATGCAACCCGCAGGTGGTCCGGGAGAATGATCAAGGCCGTGCTCGGCTACCAAGGAGGCGGTCTGGCCGACCTTGCTCTGCTGGGAGGTGTTTTGATCGCGGACATGGCAAGATGCGTCCTCAATTCATGGTTGGACAGAGGTCGATGGTTTCGTAATGTTGTGTACAATGGAAAACCTTTCACCTGCATGGGCCAGCATGGGCCAGGCTCAGGCATATTCACTCTGCAGTAAAGGATTCTTCAGCGGTTATGTCTTTCTTTCAAGCCCTGCCATGGAGGGTTCATGGGGCAATTACCCCTCTTTTTCGACTTTGCAGGGGGCCCTTCTGCTGTGCCATCGCATCCAACCTGCCACCTCTGATCTTAGCTGGGCCACCATGTCCCACAAAGTAGCTTTCACTCTGCTGCCCAAAAGGAAGCTCACACCGCCGAGCCAGGGATCTATCCTGAAAGGAGGAAAGAAGGCACCCACTCTAAGGTTCCATCAAATTATATAGTACTCAATACCAACAATACCGTTTCCAGTATAGTTACAAAGCACGCTTACAAAGCAGGCTTTCAGAATGGAAAAGCAGGGAGAGACTGTCGTTGGAACCTACTGAAGTACGATCCTTGTATCCTTCGCGCCCTTCAACCGGGGAACACCACCAGGTGGCTTGTCGAGTGTGACGATTTGCGAAACCTAAAGCACAGGTGTTAAGCCATTTGTTCCACGGAAGGTCTCATCTAAACCTGGTCACCATTGCAATTGGGGTCTTCCAAGTTGGGAAATTGTTGGACGCATTGGGTGGACACAATTCGATGGACCAATGGTTGTGGCATCTAAGTGCCTAAGTTCCACGAACACTACAAAACAGTGTCCAGGTGTGTAACTTTATGCAAGTTATAGTAACAATATGCACAGTACTAAGTCTAGTTTTCATACACTGGAACTGAACATTACTCATTACCCTATGCTGGCGCATGACATGACTTTGAAACAACAAACGCTGAGTCCTGTTGTAAAGAAATGTATAGAACCCCCCAATATAGAACCAAACTGCTGAATAGTCAACTGGAAAAATGTTGACCAGTCATATGCGCTTGGATTCACACACTTGCGGACCGCATCCTTCGTCGCCGCTCCTACGCAGTACATTCCGGTCCCACTCCACACCCGAAAAAGGAAGAGAAAAGCAGAGCACCAAGACCAAAACATACCAAAACAACTGCAAAGCTGAGCTTTCGGATTCGTGTCATCGACCAGCAATCGCTGTCGCCATGGACTGTCCTGGCGCAAGCCCCAACATGGAAACTAGTGAGTTCCGAAAACACTAGTTACAGTTGTTACAATTGTTTCCCGGAGATGACACCATCTCTGTCACCCGTCATGCTCGTAACCGCTCGTACCTCTTCCAGGGCTCAGGGCTCGCTCGCTCACTGCGCTAGCTTTTTGCTCGCTTGCTGGCGAGCCTGAGATCTTCGTTTTCCCTCTCCTCGTATTTGAGGCGGACCTCCTCCAAGCTTTCGCCATGAAGCACGCGCAGCCCACCCTTCCGCAAGGCCAGGTGGGCGGCGAAGCTTCCTCGGAACTTCGTAGGTTCGGAATTGGAAATGAAATTAATGCTTAATAAGATTAATTCTTAAGACGATCAACCTAATACCACATAGTCACATAGTGAAGGAATGGGAAGGGACTAAGTTTACCTGTGCCACTCAATTATTCAAAGCATGTTTCTCTATGGTTGTGCTGGCTGCTCCACAAGCACAGCCACATCCACTTTGGGAGCCACCGTCAGGAATCCCAGGGTTGATTAAGCTGCTCTTCTCAAAGGATTCCCTCTCAACCCGCCAAATCCCGCCAAACTCTTGGGCTGGATGGTATGTTGGAGACCCGACAAAAATTGACAAAGCTTGTTGGTACAACCGAGTGCACACGACAAAAAAACGCCGTCACACCGTCATCCAAGCAAAAGCGTCCCACGTGCCAAGCACGAAGCTCCTGGAGCAAAGCTGAAGCGTGAGGAAAAGCTGTGAGTTGGGAAGAAAGGACTGCAACTTCTAAAAAAAAGAGATCAGATGAGATTTCAAGGATCTGAAAGTACAAGGGATAGATCTGTGGCGTCTTAGTACCTCCTCAGAAAACCATTCGCCCCTCCATACCCATCCCAAAACACCTTCTCAGCTAGTTACCTAGCTGGAGTCCTATAGGCCTAACGGGCCCCGGCCCAGGCTCCTGCAGCACCTCCCAGTGCTCCACCACCGCTGAGGCCACCGAGATCAAGGGCACTTCATGCGCTTCAGCACCCTTCAGCGCCAGGCCTTTCAGCCGGCCGACCGTGGTGTCATCAGCAGACGTGCCTCGGCTGCTGTTCATGTCCTGTGTGAGAGGAAGAGGGGGTGTCTCAGATGTCACACCCAAAATGTGTCACCCTTGTGCTTTTGATCTGATTTCCTCTTGAAGCGCAAACTAATTGTTGTGCTCCCCCGACACCACAAAAACAAATAATTGTCATATATACAGTAGTCTTTAAAAAAAGGAACGCATTGCATCCCTTGTCCTTCATGTGTGTGTGTGTGTGCAAAGGGTGCGCGATCCTCCCTTCGCGAAACACATGTTTCGAAACTTGCATTATCGAACATTGTGGAAGCCATGTCATTTGACGCTATATGTAGAGTGAGTGACAGTGGGAGCATCAAATTCACATCAGACTCGCCATTTGCCAGGCAAGCTAGGTTCCAGTCCTAATTTACACACTAACTAGCTGGGAACGCTATTATCTATACATCGATGTGTATCTTCGATATATCGTTGTTAAGTGCCACAAGACCTGCAGCTTTGAAGCTCTGGAACCAATGACATGAGATTGCAAACAGGGGAGCCAAGGGGTTCAAATGAGTGATTCTAGCAAGTATTGTGGATGTGAATGGATTTGATTAGGCCGCAAACTCCCGATGGGAGTTGTCAGGGTCCATCGCACAGTGAAGCTGCAACCGAGACACCATCCAAATCAGTGAGCTCCACGATCCCCGCGTTGCTGCAAAAGCGGCTGCGCCAGCGATACCTTCCTGTTCAGTGAGCAGGCGCTGCTTCAGAGAGATCAATCAGGGTCCTACATCCGGCCGGTGATGAGAAGCTATATTATTACGGTTTACGACTTTGTGCCCTCACCATTCAACAAAGTTGAACCCTTTCGACATACTGATGCCTGAAGTTGTCCGTCAGACTTGTTTCTGGGAACAATTTGGCTGGTGCCCCTTGCTCCTGCCACTACTGGAAAGGACTGGAAAAAGATTGGAAAAAGACTACTGCTGAAAATGCTCCGATCAAGGTAGTTGCATGTTCAACCCACCTGAGCAGGACCACTGATTCACCAATTCCCCAGGCTTTGGTGGAAAACACATCTTTCTGGCCCGGTGACGGGGATGCAACCAGCTCCCTCGCACAACGGTTCCAAGGAAAATCGCTTGTGGTCAGGTCTCTTCGTACTGCGTTCGAATCAATGCAGCTCCTCAAATCTGATGAGTTAGTTTAACGATTTAGTGATGATTCTTTTCAATTGAAACCTGTTCGTATCCCAATTAGGTTGGGGATGAAGGGGATGGAGGGCAAGGTTCTGCATCGGTTCATTCTAAAAATCTGAGACATCCCTAAAGCACCACCGCGTAGCTGTCGGCTTTTCGTGCTCTGAGCCTCCATTGAAGCCCATCATGCCTTCAGGGTTTCCGATTGGCACCTCCAAACCTACCTGCAAACCAAGGTTGTACAATACAATCAATGTAGGGACATCGTATGGTGCATCCTGCAATCCATTCCTTGCAACGCCAAGCATCCAATCTCCGACGCCGTCTCCTCATTCCGTGCAAACGCCGACAGGCTGTTCTATAGGATGTTTGGAAACATCTCATGTTTTTGGCACTCGGCTCTCGATGACTTGGGGAAGGTTGTGACATCTCAAATCTCAATGATTGGCCCGGTTTCCATATTTTGCAGCAAAACACTGCAGAAACGAAGAACAAAGCTCCACGATGCTCCATGGGCCCTGGAAAGACCTTGGGCCTCTGGCCACACGGTGGACTCGGGTCATTTCAGCCCTGTAGGTAGATGGTACTCCTGGCTTTGGCCATGAAACCCATGGCTCAGCAGTGCGAATCCGCGGCAGAAGCACTTCATCTGCAACATTGATATAGTCTGCATAAAGCCCATGCCACGTTTGCTGGAATAACCTGAGCCAGCGCAACTTCGTCCATCAGATTAGTTTCACAAACTCGTCTTTAAGGGAATGTGGCTTCTCAAGCAAAGAGTTGCCACTGGGGCCACACTGGAAATCCACCAATCATGAATTTCGATTGATCAACTCGACTCAAGCGTTGGTATGCGTTAATTACTCGCCACTTGTTACAGTAATCAAAAGGAAACTTGTCGGCGATTTATGAGATGTTCGATAGTTTTACTGAGTACATAATTTTACTTGCTGTATTGTTGCTGGCATGTTTAAAGATCTCTTGAGCGTCAGTTGTGTTTTTAACGGCCCACACCCAGTCCGCTCATCCCCTAACATCCCCTTAACTGCAGGTGTGGGGTAGTGGCCCGCCTGTCGGCCTGCACCCGGAGATTGAGCCCTCCTCTCGAGCGTTACTCGACTCCGCTCTGCATGGGTCCTCCCCGCCCACGGCCGCTGGAATGACTCGGACCCTATTTTGCACACCATCGATCTGCAGGCATATGCCGTCCCACTGGCGAAACGAGGATTCATAGATGCAGCACTGAATTCTAGCATTGCTGTCGGGCCATTGCACATTTCAAGTTCTGACAATCACATCATATGAATCGAAGCTTCCAGCCATCGACTCGTCGTTTTCTTCGGTGTCTATTCTGCCGGCAGGCCGCCGAGCCGGAGTTTTACCCCTTAGGACAAATTATTGAGGACCTAGCAGGCTGCAACTGCAAAGTCTCTTGACAAGCCTTGGTTAGCAACAAGAAAACTGCTCCACTTCCTGCAAGTAAATATTTTGAGTTCTGCACATTGACATGCTGGGCAACGACGGACAACTCCATCACGTTGATGATATAGTCATGGAATCGGAATCGATGTTGTATAATGTTCTCTCTAATGCAGCCACCCTGCACATCCTGGATTTCTACATGCTGCTGTACATGTGCTGACTGGAAGTGATGGTTATCGGGTTAGGAGATGGTGAGAGTCGCTGCTGACATCTGCTGACTAGCTATATAGGTGTCCTTCCGTTGAACATGCTGTCAAAACTTCGAACCATAATATGGACAAGCGCAAAACTGGAACAGATGTGCATGAATCACTCCGAGCTTGGCAATCACGCACTCTGCAAATGACAACGTGTTGAGATCATGGTGTGATCATCGTGGGACCAAATGAAACGCTCCATTTTACATGCGGAGAAGCTCCTGATATGCTGGGCCAAAGCAAGATAACTTCAGTCCGGTTCTTGCTAAAGCTGGCACCCAAGCATATTCCTCAACCCGCCAAAACTCCACAAGCTCCGTGCTTTCAGGATAAGGCTTTTGAAGATCTCCCAAGTAGGTCTGTAAGAATTGACGCAACGTTTGTATCAAATCCCTGCGATCAGCTATTGACAGCGCCGCCAGCTCCGCGTTGGCCGCCGGGGAGAGCTCCTCCGTTCGGTAGTCAGGGTGTAGCGACTCCAGCGGGTTGGCGCTAGCGTCCTGCAGGTTTTGGTTTTACCAAAATGTGTGGCAAAGGTCGGCGGGACGACCCTCCCAAAATTGTTCCACAAGGCCCTCCAAAGACCAGAATTGAGTCTTGGAAGTCACACAAGATCTAACACACGTCATGGCATGAAACGAAGATACTGTTTGCAAAGCAGTCTGACCGCATCTCCATCAATGACAAAAAGGGATGAAAAGGTCAGCAACATCAATGAATCAGGCATCCTTGAAACTCAATAACTCTCCCCCAAGGGGGTCCACACTCGAAGCATAAAATGGTTGAGACGCCTTGATTTGCTAAGTCGCTAAGTCACGCGTCACCTTCGCCCAATGGTTTGAGCACAGGATTTGCGCAATGAGGGTGCCTCTTTGAGTGCACCCAATCAAGAACAAATTTGTTCCCCAAACGCAAAACACCAAAAGTGCTGAGACACTAATCAAAATTGTTTGTGTGTTTACAATAAACGAAACACGTGCCAATTTTGAGGCATTGTGCTCACACGCGCATCTCAGCTTTTCAAAACGTAATGAAATGTATGTGTTCCTTGGGAAGCCGTGAAAAGAAGCACTGCCAATTGTCCTCGGCCCTGCCAACCACGGCCGTGGAAAGTGTATATATATAAGATTTCGAATTTCGACGTAGAATTTATAAACCGCAAACTTCTGCTTAAACCTCTGATGGTCGAGTCCTCACTGTACGAGTATCACTCTATGGCTACTGACTACTGCTTAGCACCACCTCAACTAACTTTGTGCCTGCAACACCCCTACCCAGGGCGGTAACAAGAATACTTGTGTGCTGATTGCGTTGAGCGCGGAGAGCTGAAAGTCACGTCCTCCAAGCACTCGATGGCTGCACTCACCTGCGACACCAGCAATGCGTCGAGGGCCTCCGGCAGCTCTGCCACAGCCACATGCCTCTTCTGTCCGACGAAGGGTCTCAACAAAGGCACCATTTTGTCTGTTCGAGCTTCCCTCGAAAATGGATGAACTAGGTCCACGGCTCATAGACGACCGTGATGTTTTGTCTAATTGTTGGATCCTGCAGACTTTGTAAGCCTTTAGATTGACCGACCTTCTGAATGTTTGTTGACCGGTGTCGTAGAGGCCTCAACCTGACTTGGGAGAGTGTAAGATGAGGGTGAGAAGTACATTTTGCATCTTTGTGGCAATGCTCAAAATTCCTCAAACTACTCTGCTTTTCAAGAACCAAACGCATATGGAAGCTCGTTGTGAGTTAAGGAAACTTGCCAGAGAGTCTCGCAATTGATGCCGCCTGCACGCGTAGATGTACATGTACTCTAAGACTCTTCAATTAAAAACTCTCGCCCCGGGCCCCATGACAACTAAAAACTGGCCCTAAAATGAAACGGCGTTTACCCTCCACAAGGACGACAGCTCAAAACAAAACGAAGGACAAGGAAGTGAACAAACAAGGGAAAACAACACAAATAACTTGCACGGTTGTTGCGAGAAGTTTCAAAAGAACAGTTTCAGCTTTGCCTTATCGTTTCTTGTTTGAATCGGTCGGGTGCGTGGCCGTGTGGTCCTTAGATTTGCTGGCCTACCCTCACTCAAGTTCATAAGCAAGATCCGCAAAAAACAGCAACAAGAAAACTGCGAGCCGTGACACTGGGGACATTGTAGTCCGAGTTTCCGGCATTGAGTTTACGAGAGCTGTCGTTTCACCTTCACACTGGTTATAAATTTAGCCTGTATCGAAAACAAGGATACAGTACCTGTAAATAGCCCCCCAAAAAAAATGAACATGAAACTCCACGGCTACGCACCGTGGTCCAACTACTTGCAACTTGAGAAAGACAATCAAGGTTAGCCGGTCAGTCAAGCATCTCTTAGTTTAGGCAGCTTATTGATGTTTAGGTGAGTTAACAATGACTCCCGAAAGGCACAACTCCACAAATCGACGTGTTGAAGAAGCATAGGGTACTGTACACATCCCGATCGCCACATTTCGGGGAAGGCCACTGGTGAAGGATGAACCTCCTTTCCCAAGCTGACAGCTGCCGGTGTGTGGCATAGCCGACATGGCTGATCAAACCCGATACCTCCAGTGAACACCTATAGAGCTTGTGGATACTAGTCCGCATGAGAATGGCCTTGCAAGCCTGCAGGTGTCCACCCATCAACCCCACACACCACCGGCCCGGCATCTTGGTCCGTGCGAACTCCGCAGCGGTCATGCCATCGTTCCTAGGCGCCACCCGAAGCCAAGCCTCAGAGTCTTGGCATCGAACCACACCGGGATGAGGGTGGTCCCATTCTCATGGTGGATGTTTAGCGTCATTTGGCACTCTTTGTGCAATACTATACATGTTACATTATATATTACCTATAATATAATATCAATATCATTCAAAGAAGAACTCGCACCCATCACATCCATCTCGTATCATGGTAACAAGTGCAGGGGAGTTCCAACCTGGTTGTGGGGCAGCATATATGGCACAGAATGACAAGCGCAATAAATCGTCATGAGTTTACGAAGCACAGGAGAAAGAAGAGTCAGCTATAGTATATAGTATACATATATAGTATATAACTGTCATCAACTCTTTAGTCAACATTGAACATAACTCCTCGTCGTCAACCAATTCTTGTCCCAAAGGTGGGGATGAAGGATCCCCAAACCCGAGAAGGACATAATTGTGGGCAGCCTTTGCAAACCACAAGATGGCCACAGTGTGTGGCAGCAAATGAGTACCCTCCCAGCCTCCATCTGCAAAAGAAGCTGCAAACACTTGTCCTCCAGAGGCACCAACTTGACACGAAGTCTTAAGAGATGATGTGTGAGTGCTCTTCACGCATATCAGCGCGAATAAGATCGAATGAGCAAATCGTCCAAGAACTCACGTTGACTTGCTGAGTCTCCATCTCTCGTCTCTAATTATCGGACTTCTGTGGGGTGGCAACAAATTGTCCCATGTGTGGCGCTCCAATGCGAGCAATTGAACCACTGTCCTGCTGGGGTCCGGTGCTCAGAAGTCGCAGGAGAAGCTCTTGCCCAGCCTCCCGTGGGAAATGCCGGGATTGGATCTGAAGAAGGGCACAGCCATTGTCGAAATCTTGATCCAAGTCACAACGTGCGAACGTGCTCTCAAAACCTTTGGCATCCTGTTGTTCATGAGCAGCAGCGGCAATTTGTTCCAACATTGCACACATTTGCCAAAGAATTGAGAACTCGTTACGACCTTCATCTATGTTCCAGCTCCTTGGGACCATGCCGCCGATCCAAATTGGTGTTGCAACACAACATAGTTGAAATCTGAGATTTGCCTCTGACAAGGATGTCTGGAACTGTGGGCGCGCTGCACGGCCTGGCTGCGAGAACACCAGCTACAGCGTTCTAAGCTGACACTTTTTGGACCCCAGCGTTCTGGGCAACTACCCTGGACGTGGAAACCCATGGAAATCCGCCTGCTTTAAGAAACACAGCGTTTGAAGATGTCCACATAATTTCCATCTAAGTGACTTAGTGAGTACAGGAGCTGAATGCAACACTTATGATACTTATGGACTAACTATAAAGGTATTTGTGCTTCGGATGGGGCACCGCTGCCACCTTCAGAGCGGAAGATATACATCTCGATCCGGTCGCGATCCACTGGCCGAGCGCCCATGAACAGTTCGTGCACGCGACCAGCCACCATGGCATAGTCAAAGCGCTCTGGCCTTGGGTGGCCGAATGTACCCAGTGAGATGGCTCGCAATACCAAAAAAAGCATTCCAAGTGTATGGTTGTGTATTGCTGAGGGTCGGCCGCGGGATGAAATATAACAAGAATTGCAACACAACTTCCGGTCAGGATGCTCACGTCCAACATCTTCTACCGTGGTGAGCAGGCCCCCTATAACTAGCTTGGGCCATTGATACCATGCGACATATCATGACATATATCATATATATATATATCATCTTTAAGGTCTTCTCTCGAAAAGGGCGTAAAATGCACTCCAATCTCAACCGCTCCTGTTTTGGAGGCAAGAACTGTCAGTCTCAGCCGTCATGTTGGACCTGAGGCACTTTGAAGTACAGTGCACCTGGGTAGCCTCTTTTGCCCACAGCTGCACTTTCCCTCAGGGAATGCGACAAAAGAATGAAGGATGTCAGGCATCCTTCAGAATTTCTGGGTCAGGGTAATTACTCCTATCCAGTCAAGGGCACTACCCTTAGGCAAATCAATCAAAATTGCCTTATGACAAAGGAAAACCAAAACGCTATTGTGCTTTAAATTAGTGAACATAGCCACCAGCTCAAAACATAATAAGAGCGTACTTAGCACATATTATATATGGAATGACATGAGCAACAACCAATTATATATATTACGTATATATACATGGATGAAATCCTTGAGCAGAATTGTTTCTATTTGTCCAAGTACAGTGGACAACTTCCTACTTGGCAGCACCTGGCAATCAGAACCCCTCCTTGCTCATAATGCAAGAAGTAGGGCTGCAAGGCGTCTGTCAAACAACAAGGCGCTTGGATTGCATCGTGTTGCATCTCTGGAGCTCTCGCAGCATGGGTCAACCATGCATTATGCTTGTCCACCAGCCAGCGTAGCAACACCAAGCTCTTCAAAGACTGGGGGCAGTCTGAACTTTCGCTGCGTAGCCACCACATGATTGGAACCTCTTGCGGGTTCTCGGACATCTGTGGGATCTGGATGTCTTGGCATTCAAACCTGTCCACTTGGGGCGCAACAAGGTTCCAGGCCTTCTGGGCAGCAGCAAAGAGCTTTGCGGCTTGGTCCCGATCTGCTGGCACCCTTAGTGGACCCACTTCATCCTATGACAAACAATATCAGGAAACCATAAGACATCAAAGTCCTTGTCAATCTGAAGAAATGGGCGCCGGAGGTCCGTCCTTGTCAAGAGAACAAGTTTTTGCGGTTGGAATTTGGTGAATACCCTTACTTAGAAAATCCCAGTTCCAACCACTTCCTCAACCTTGGAAACACACACATCTGAAACTTCGAACCTCAGCACACAGGTCCCCAACATCTCAAAAACTCCGACTCTGTCAACCAAGTCTCTCTTCCAACACCTGCTCGACATTCAATTTCTGGGCCTCCACTTTGCTCCAGCGGCCTTGAAAGCGCCCCAGAAGGAAGTTCTGAAACCTTGGATGGCCAAACGAAATGAGGTGACACCAGGATATCGGAGTCTCAAAAGAAAAAAATGCTATAGATTCTAGGATGGGCCCTGGTTCTTAGTTGAAACCTTTTCTGTTGAAAAGTGAGCGGGAACATTTAAGTTTAAAACAATTTGGGGAACTCAAAAGCCTAAACTATTGTCTTTGTGTGAATATCTTCCTTTGCCCCCCTCCTCAGTGTCCCATCGCATCAAATCAAGAGACGACACAATGGGTTCCAATTGCGAGGCAATGAAAAGATCTGTCTCCGAATTCACGACTTCGAACACCAGCTGATACTTCCTGACATTGACAACAACTCCGACACACCTAAAAAAATGACAATTCATTGTGCGGTCGTTGGTCATGTGTTTCTAACAACACCTCATCCTTGCAGCACCTGCGCAACTATTGAAAAAACGGAGGACCAGTCATTGCCTATGGTTCTTCAACAAACCTTAGAAGAAAATGTTTGCGAATTGTGATATATGCACCACACTCCTGTGCTTGATTGACTTTCGCGCTTGCACTTTGAGCAAACGATTCACAACCAACGCCCAACTGATAACAGCAGGGTAACTAGGCGAATTAGGCCCCTTTGGTCTTTCGCGTGTTTTTTCTCAGCCAAATTAAGAACCACTCCTCTCTGCCTTTTGGACCTGGAGTCAGGGACTTCATGTGTCATGTTCGAACACAGGCACCACACAATGCAAGAGAACTTCCGGCTCTCCCCACCAAAAGAAATTTACAAAAATGAACCGCGCAAATCACCACCGTTTACACCTACCACTGTTTACACCAACCACCTTTTACACCAAGCCAAGGTTTACACCAACCACACCCAACCACCCCTTACACCACACCACCGTTTACACCAACCACCGTTTGCACCACACCACCGTTTACACCAAACCACGGTTTGCACCAACCACCGTTTACACCCAACCGCGGCTTGCACCAACCATAGTTTGCAACACTTCACATCAAGTCAAGCCACGGTTTTTACCAATCACCGTATGCTATCGGACAAGGCCTTGCGTTTTTAACAATCCCCGCAGATCTCCCACCTCGCCCCTTCTGCCCGATCACTATCTATCATACAGGCCTCAACAGGCCCTCTTGCCACCGACCCCTTTCCTCAAAACCTTTATCTAGACTTTTCGAAACCTTAGTGTGGTTTTAGAGTTGCCTTTTACCTTTTTCAGCACCGGCCTAAGCCCACTCATGATGTACGTTACCTTCTCCGTGACTTTTTCCTGTTCCACACACCCCTTCCCCTCCCCTGGCCGTTTCTCTGCGTTGCATCTCCCACCCTTGAGCCAAGCTCCCTTGCTTATGCTTTGCTGGCTACATGTTGCTCAGCAAAATTCCCTTCACCCGCTCCACCGGCAGGAGTCGATTTATGCCTTGCTCTAGGGCCAACCCTTGCCGTTTCTTTGCTTTGTGTCTTCCCCTGCCTTCAGTCTAGCCTAGCTCCCCTTCTCCTTTTTTGCTCACGACGCGTTGCTCCTCTGCACACATGCGGCAGCATTCAGCCGTGGAGGCCGGCTGCACACGCCAACGGCGGTTGAATCATGTCCGCCTCTTGACACTTCTGGTCAACAAATATGAAACAACACGCTTTCCAAGATGGATTCCAGGACATGTTCAATCTGGGTTCACTTATTTCTCATGCCCAGTTTCTCCATCAATGCTGGGTCGGAACGTAGATCTTCCTGCATGTGCAAACTGTCTAACGGCGTCCACCTTCGAAGGAGCGACGGCAGCATGGCCTCACGTTCTCGCGAAGCCAAGCAGCTGATGGTCTGAGACTCCTGGCGCTCCGTCAGATCCCCTCTCTTTGGATGGAGATTGCAGCGGCCGTGCCATTCATGCTGTATTGGATCCCCCCCCGGTGGGGCAAGGAAGGACATGAATATGCTGAACACGTAGGATATGTATGAATACACATTATTTAACTATATATATACGTACTGGCACTATACTCCAATTGGTGTTCTGTATGTGTGGTGTTTGTCTTTGAGCTGTATTTGATACATTAAAGTGAGGTGTTCCCCGTCCGACCTCCAATTCCTCGGCTAGCTTCTCTTCTGCTGGGCTACGGCCACGGTTCATGTTCGTAAAGGCAGTGCTCTGGGCAGCACCCACAAACAGTGACCAGTCCCGTTCCAAGCTCTCCCGGCGCAAAGTGGAGTGTGGGCAGCTCAAGCAGTAGCCGCGGAGAACCAACACGTGTAACCTCCGGCAGGAAAGGGATTGCAGGCATGAGGAACATGAGTCACCGTATAGGTTAATGCATGTAAAATAATGCGTTCATCATACAAAAGACCTTTGTTAGAGAAGAATCCCTAGGCATGTGTGCTACATATTTGCATTCTTGAAGTACGTTTGGTCCATGCAGCCATGCATTGCCCAAGGCTTTCTCATTAAGACATAGTACATTAAAGCGGCTTGATACAATTATCTTGTACGGCCCGGGCGGATTGAAAAAACATAACAGAACACTTTCTCTACCGCGAAGGTCCCATCCTCTGTCTAGCCTGGATTGTTACAAACTCTCTTCCTATAGCCATCAATCTTTTACACTGATATGCTAGCAAATGCTAGGAAATGGGTCTCTTCCTAGCAAATGCTCAAAATTATCAATAATATTTTTGAGGCCTCAAGTACCCCCATCGACTAAGCATGTTAAAATCGGTCGCTGAACTTCGACCTTATGCAGCGAGTCAGCACTACACCACAACGAGTAGATGCAAACAACATCAAAAACACATGAGCATGTGCAAAGGTTCTGGTGCATAGGCATGCAATCTCTGCATGTGCTTAATTGTCCCGGCCCAAGTTTGGGAAGCTATTGAATTGGTTCGCCTGACTTGCCTTCTTTGACAGCTTTGCATTCCTGACATGCCATATGCATATCTAGCCCTTATCCAAACAAAATTCAAGTACGCCTGAAAGCGCTTAAAGAATGTAAAACATCGTGGGGGCGGCAAATAAAAAGATCCTGCGTATGCACGCGCAAGAGCAAGAGTATGTATGTATATATATACATAAAAAATATGTGTGTATATCTAGAAAACATAGACATTATAGACATGATTGTATGATTATAGACAAACTTGTGTGCGTGTCATGTATAATCTCACTATCTGCTCCTTTTCGTCTGCACCCTCCGAGTGCTGGATGCAAGCCTCTCACTTGTGAAACATCACTTCACTAGCATGTGGCAGGCAGCAAATCTTGCGTTTGCAATCTTGCTGCATCGGGGATACTACTACAACTAGTCAAAGACCATCTGACCATCTGATATCAAGTTGTAACAACTTACTTCCCTATTTCAACTCGATTCACCTCAGTTTTCACTAGGCTCAGTAACCCTGCACCATCAACACCTTCGCAAATAATTGTCAATTGTAGCAGTTGTAGGTCCAGCTCGGGAGTCAAAAGCGGCTGCCAAGAAACCTCTCAGAGAGACGTTCGGGGGTCCAACCGTGGAGCGTCCTCAGAACCTGCGTGTACCGTGGTAGGCTGCACACCCCCCCAAAAAAAAACACACTTATATAATGCCATGGACACCCATCGATTAAACTATGCACTCCTACAAGGACCAAAACACAATGTTATGTTGATACGTTGATACATTGCTTGCTGCTGGTTGCATGACAACTGACAAAATCGCTTTAAGCTTTAGCTCTGCAAATTCACAGGCTCACAGAAAATAACACATCAAGTTCTTCAGCCATCTCCACGTCGACCCACCTGCCAGTCTCCCTTCATGCGCTCCATCAGGTCCGCTGCGGACCTTGGGTAGGTTTGTGAAATGTAATTGTATGGGAACCAAGCTCTCTTGGAATCCAGTGTGTCCTGCTGCAAAGGCACAAGCCGCCAAAACTTTGCGAGCGCGTTCCACAACCCAAGCTCAACAGCCCGTGCAAAAAGTACCGCGCGCAACGTAACTGATCCACGTTCAGACCACGACAGGTTTGTCTGTCGCCTTCGTGCCTCGTGTCTAAGAAACCAGGTCTGGCTGCGGCCTGGTTTACCTGGTCCACCCTCCGGTTGCCAGCTGCAGGTCGGTGTTCCCGACCCCCAATTTGTTGGTTGCAGCCTGGGCAGCGTCTTTGTTCCATGGGCTGGCCACATTCTCCAACGGCATACCGGAATCCACAGCGACACGTGTACATCTTCACGTTCTCTCTGAGGGCTGCCAAAGCAGCAGCTGCTTCATCTTCAGGCATGAAGGGCCACAAGCAGCGTTGCAAATCCTGAGGCGACGAAAATATCCGCCACCAAAGGCTCTGTTCTGCATCGGTTTGGCTCATTGCTGCCATATGTATGATGGGGCGGACCATGAACACCCACTCCGGTGTGGTATTACCATGGATCTGCCAGCCAGGGCTGCGAGGAAAGTTCTGCAACATTGCATCCAACAAGGTCCTCAACTCCCGATGCTGGAGGTTGAGCTCGCGAGCTGCCGGCATGGGGTGCTGGCGTCGGAAGTGGCTCAAAAAAGCTGTGGAGAAGGCAGCCATCACCGTAGCCACTGGTCCAGCTCTGCCGGTCATGGAAGAAGTGCTGGGACTCAAAATAGCATCTTTCAAAGTGGAATACTCGTCACCTTGGCAACGTCAAGAATGCAAATGTGAAGTGCACGCTGTACACTTGAGTCATGATCATGGTGTGAGATGTTTTTCCTTTCGCTTCGCAAACCTACCTCTCAAGACTTGGGAGGGCGCAAGTTAGAAAAGGCGCGGCCGTGGAGGTCATCGCCGTGCTCGACAATTAAGTTCACATTGGTAGCGGAGCCCCATTCCGGGGCTCCCGCGAACTTTGTGTCTTCCTCAACGAGGCCCTGCGTAAGACCTTCGTCACCTCGGCTCAGGTCCCTACTCCCTGCTGAAGATCTTCGAAAGTGACGATGGCCGCAGCTTCGACAGCGGCAAAGATGGAGAGACACGACTCCTACGTCCCACCCTTCTCCAACCAGCCCTCAGAGTACAAGGAGTACAGGAAACGCCTGAACCTCTACCACAAGAAGATGGTCATCAGCAAACGAGCTGGTGAGTCACAGTGCTGAACATCCTTGGAAGTTTCAGCGGCGTGACCTGGAAACTCTTCGAGGACTATCCCATCGAGGATGTGGAGAAGAGTGACGCATTCAGCAAAATACTTGAAAAGCTGGACAAGAACTTTGAGTATGACGACCGCGTCCTTCTCCCCAATGACTTTGAGGAGTACTTCAACCTCTTGCAGAGGAAGCCTCAGCAAAGCCTCTTGGCCTATGTCACTGAGTATGACACCTCCTATAGGAAGCTGATGTCCCACAAGGTCACTACCTGGACAGGTCCAAGGATGGCTTCTCCGGAGAGCAGCTTTGACTAAGGAGCAGCGCCAAATGGTGACTTTGAAGGCTCCAGCGCTGGACAAACAGGCCGTCATCGATGCACTCTACCTCCTCTTCGGTCAAGACTATAAAGCGGGCGGTTGGAACAGCGACCGGGATCGCAAGTTTGCCCGCTGGAAGGGTAGAGGCTATGCAGCCTTCGATGAAGATAACAATGCCTGGCCATCTGAGACCGCCTGGCCTGAGGAGAGTGTCTACTATGAGGCTGATGATTGGGGCGTCAAAAACTACATCAGCAGGAAGCCTTCGACTTCGATGCCGGTTACTATGGTGAGGAAGAGCCAGTCGAGGACTATGGTGAGACTTCTGAAGATCCCTATGAGCTGGCTGAACAGTACGACCATGCCTATGCCACCTACCTGGGCGCCAGACAACGATTCCAGCAGCTCAAACTGGCTCAAGGCTACCTCCCAGTGGTTGCACTCACTGACGGACAGCCTTCCTCTCCTATGGCATCCAGTTCAACCTCCAAGGGCAAAGATCGCAGTCCCTCCAAGGGCAAGTCCAAGCACAGGAACAAGGGCAAGGGCAAGAATGTCATTCGCTATCCACCGAACATGGGCGGCAAGCCAGCTGATCCTCGTGGCCGAGCTCAAGCTACGACGTGCTTGACGTGCTTGCGATGTGGCCAGCCTGGCCATTGGGCCGCACAATGCCCACAATCGGCCCGACCGAGCTCGACTGCTACCAGGAGACCCGCACCTGGTCCGACAGAAGGCATGGCTGCACAAGCCGAACAAGCCCTCGTGCTTTTCCAACATGAACATGGCGATGAACGCCCTGATGCCACGATGCTGGACCAATGCTGGATCCTGGTGCCTCAGCATTCCTCAGCGGCTACGGCCCCTTCAAGCGCTACGTTGACCACCTGGACTCCATGGGCTACCCGGTCAACACGATCCGGTTCGCTCGCTGTGAACGCGCAGTTCCACTTTGGCGGCGGTGCTTCTTCACAGCACGAAGAGCCTGTTCTCTTTGCGCATCGCTGAAGAGGTTCCTGGCAGTCACCTGCACTTGGACGACTTCAACAACCTGGAACACGTCTTTGCTGCAGATGAGCAGGTGGCAACCGACAACGGCCTCGACTCAGCTCGTCTTCACCGACATGCCCTCCGCTATGGAAGTGCAGTTGACCACTACGGTGAATGCCACTGAGGCCTACATCACCAACGAGCTCCACCAACCTCCTGAGCATCGACGAGTGCTCTGGGAAGTATACTGCGGCAAGGCCCGCACTGGTCTGATCGCCGAAGAACTTGGCATGAAGGTCGAGCGCTTCTCCTTGGAAACTGGTTGGGACTTCAACCTGAAGAGCCATCAACAACAGTTCACGCAACGACTGGATGAAGAAGAACCTGATGAAGTTCTCTTGGCTCCTGAATGCAATGTCTGGTCCCGCACGCAGACACTGACCTGCCGAACTCCCGCACAACAAGAAGCTCTGATGGCCCGTCGTGAACACCACCGCCGGCGACGTCACCTCTGCTTTGCCAAGCAGATCTATCTCCGACAAGCTGGTCATGGCCGTCATGCCCACTTGGAGCAGCCTCGCCATGACATAAGCTGGAACACGCATTGCCCTAAGAGCGCTGCCCGCTACAATGCCGACTTCGACCAATGCCGATATGGAGCTATGCGCCTTGACACATGACGGTCTTTGGCGCCCTGTCCAAAAGTGCACCAGGTTGAGGACAATGAAGAAGACAGTTCTGGAAGCCCTACATCTTCGATGCTCTCATGACCACAAGCACTGCCCACTCAAAGGAGCAGCACCTGGCTATGGCCCACGAACGACCTACCTAGCCTGGCTTCGCAGCCACCTTGGCCGCGGCGATGGCTCAACCTGAACCTGGACACCTCTGGGACGCAGCCTATGCAGTTGACGCATCCGAGAAGAAGGCCACTGGGCATCTACTGAAGCTTCAAGCTGAACATCACCAAGATGCTCTACGCGTCGCCCAACGATTGCATCGAAATCTCGGTCATGCCTCTGTGGTGTCGGCCGCTAAGGAGTACAAGTGTGTACCTTGCTTGAAGCACAAGAAACCTAATACCAAGTGGCTCCGTTATCACTGCCACAACCAAAGAGCTTCAACGACACCATCCAGGCCGACGTCTTCTATACTTGAAGCCAGCAGATCGGAAATTCTCAGTCCTCAGCATTGTGGATGTTGGCACGAAATTCATGGCAGCTTGCCTGGTGTTGGAAGAGACCTCCGAGTCCTATGTGAAGGCCCTAGAGAAGGTCTGATTGCGCCACTACGGTCCTCCTCGCATTTTGGTCACCGACGAAGGAAGGCCATGGTTGGGCGGCACATTCGAAAACTGGACCAGCGCTCTCGGCATCGATCATCAAGTCGCCCCTGGAGAGGCTCACGGGAGACTTGCTCTCGTTGAACGACGACATGCAGTCCTTCGACGCGCCTGTGCATGAGGTGTACATGTCTGACCGTAAGCTGGTCGACTCACATGGAGTCAAGGAAGCCCTGACCTACGTGGTTCCCCAACAGAATGCCACTCCATCCGTGGCTGGGTTCACTCCAAGCCAGTGGTTTTGGGCCATCAACCGGAAATGTCTCATCTCCTGGACTCCAACCCCAATGCTGCTCAGAGCGCTGCTCAGTTAGCCGGGAACAACATCACGTTCGAGCAGAACCTGGAGCGACGCACTTCAGCACGGCTGGCACTCACAAGTGCAGATGCAGACTCCAAACTCCGGCGAGCCTTGAGCCGGAAGTACCAGGGTCAGAGCCGCATTTTCCAACTTGGAGAACGTGTTTGGTTCTGGCGAGACGCCCGACAGAGTGCCCTCAACAAGATTCGTTGGCTGGGACCAGCACACGTGGTGCTTGGTGAAGAAGATCCTGATGCACCGACTGAGGCCATGAAGGTCAAGACCTACTGGCTGGCCTACAAGAGCCAGCTCATTCGTGCGGCACCTCACCACGTTCGCGGCGACATCCTTGCTCCTCAGCATGTGTTGGATGATTTGCAAGCATCCCTCAACACTGTCCGACAGCTCAAGTCTCCTAGTATCACTCGCTACTACGACCTCCGCCGTGTCAATCCACAACAGCTGGAAGATGTGGAGGAGGATGAGCAGTATGATGACCATGACGGGTCCCTTCATGATGATCCTGACGAACCACCTCGTCACCGTCTTCGCCTGGAGGTTGCTGAAGTTCCGACCACATCGAACCTCAAGCTTTGCACCTACAAGCCCGAGAGCACCACCATCGCCCACAATGGGCGCACCTCCTGCAGTACCTCCACCACCGTTGGAAGCGCCGACGTCACCAGACCACGAGGTCCCGATCCAGAGCACCAACTGTGGATGAACCAAGTGAAGAGCCGATGATCCCATCTGGACGTGAGACACCTCTGACCCCGGCTCCAGATCCAAGACCTGTCTTGGACCCAACCACGGCATCCTTGTATGAGACAATTGATGCGGAGACCTTCAGCCAGCGCAGTGCCAGATTCAATCGGCAGGAGACTCTCAGTTTCGGTCCACTCCGAAACCTACGACCTCCACCACCACAGCCGTATGAACTGCCCTTAACACCATCGGCAGAACCAGAATCAGCTGCTGAACCACCGCCTGCAGCCAGCGCCGATCCTGATCTTCCCTCAGCTGACCGAGCACCTGCTTGGTGGCTCCTTCTTGGTTATGGAACTTATAAATAAGTTACAGCAGTTACACCACATAGAAAACTTGTAAGTTAACTTACAAAACTTACAATCTGAGCATTTTGAAACTGCTTTACTAAATTGTCTAAGTTATTTGTAAGTAATTAATAAGTTTTCTAAGTAAAAGTAACTTTCAGAACGTTAGCTTTTTGGTTTGCATAAATTTTTGGTAGTTGCTTATAACTGGTTTACGTTTGGTGTTTCAGAGCTATATAGTACCCCACACATGACAAGCGGCGGCTCATTGAGCCGCCTATACAAAGCTATAGACTATAGAACATCTCAGAGCTAAAGTACCCCACACATGACAAGTACGTTGGCGGCTCATTGAGCCGCCGAACCAGATAATAGTTTCAAACCTCATTAAAACACATTGTTTCAGTGAAGGCAAAGCAGCTTCTCTGCGTCCAGCTGCAACCACCATGTAGGACTTCGCCCGGCCAAGGAAATGTGCAGCAAGCGCTTCCGCCCAGTAACACGCCAAGAGCTCCAAAACTCTGTCCGCTCTTCGATTTCAAGCGGCTGAATAAGGAGATAAAACTCCGCGCCATCTTGCACTGCTGAGTCAACCGTGCAGGGGTGCGCCCCCAGTAACACATCATTCTCTGAATAAGTATGTCCTTTGTGAAGGACCTTCTTTGCCACCATACAGTTGCTTTTCCCAAGACTTTGCCCAATGGTCTCCGATGAAGATTGTGTTCCTTGCAATGCGGTGCCAAACTCGTAGGCCGCCAATGAAGTGATGTGATGCTTCCATATCTCTCGCTGAACACAATGACTGAATTCACCCTTGTCCTGTTGCACTTTTGGGTCGTAACGGTGCAAACCAATATGCGACTTGAACTGCTGTGCTTCCGCTCCATCGCAAAACAGTCGACGTAGAAGCCGGTTTGTTTCAACTGCTCAGCCGCATGAAACCGTTGGTGATGTTTCGGTTTCACAAAGCTCTCAGAATAAACTTCAACAATCAAAGACTGATGTGCGACTTGTAGTTCTTGCAGCCGCTCAGTAGCAAGAGGTGCAGAACACGCAGCAATGCTCCGTAATTCAATGCTGATGCGCCGCAACGCATTGAAACTTTCCATTTCCTTCACAAGCAACCCTCTGGAGTCAAGATCTCTTGACAAGACGTAGTGAAATAGTGGGAAAAACATTGTTAAGTTCGAAGCGGACCCTTTGTACACGGCACCTTCAAAGTTAAAGGCGCCACCAAGCCGCTTTCGAAAAGATGGCGTGCAGCTTTGCACGGAAGTGCGCCACTCCAAGGACAAGAACTGCTCTAGACTCTAGATCGCCAATTCCGGTCTCACTCCATTTGGCGTGAAGCGCGTTCACTTCCCAAGAAATGATCCCGCAACTCCAATACAAATGCATAAAGTCGAGAAGAAAGGCGCTCGGTGGCAGAGCATCACGCGCCAAAGGGTCGCTCAATTCTTTTGCAGGGCTGCCCTGGAAACATTCGGCGCAACAGCACTCAAGTTGTCAACGGCACTAAAGATTTCGCTGTGGCTTTGCCAAGGCATCCATCAAAACAAGAGTCACACATATAACATATTATAGTTTTTACATACATACGAAGGCGGCTCAATGAGCCGCCACTGTATATGGGCAGTGGGTAAAACACAGGGGAACCAACAAGTTCTAACGTTTAAAGCGAATCAATGGTCCGCCAGCACTCTAGAAAAGCAGCTAGATAGAAAACAATCAAGGGAAAGCAGCTGAATAGAAAACACAATGAAACTTCAAATCTGAAAACAATATTGAAAAAGTATAGATTCTTTACATCAAAAAAGTTAAGTTTTCTAAGTTGTTTCTAATTGTTATTTCCAATGTTTTTGCAAGAACAACTTATACTAGATACTAATTTGATTTGCCTTAATTTTGTAAATACATTATAAGTGGCATAAATTAGCTTAAGAACTTACAGAACATGTCTAACTCAAAAGTGGGTTCTAAGTATGTTACAGCTAGGTTATACATATTTTATAAGTTCCATAACCAACAAGGAGCCACCAAGTGAGCATGCATTCCAGGTCACTGAACTACAAGCCCATGGGCTACCACAAGGATGGTCGTTCGACGGCTACTTCCACCTGGACAAGCGACCTCGAGACTACTGGGAAGTCAAAGCTGGCTGCCTCATTCGACATCATCTCGTGCCTTGACGACACAAAATGTGCCTGCACGATCTGCCAAAGGACAGTCCCTTCAGCTCTGATCAACTTGACCAGATTCGAGTCACCGTGATGTACGACCACAATGGCAAGAGCCACCAACTGACAGATGATGGCACTGGTTCTCATCCAATGGATCGCACCTGGACAGGCCTGAGGGCCTCAGCATCTTTCAGATCAAGGGCGATCACCGCCGTGAAATGGCTATGTATGCCAAAGCCCCTCTTCAAGGAGCACGTCAGTTGGGGAAGACTGCAAAGATGCAGAATGCCAAGACCTTCAAGAAGGACAAGAACAAGAGCAACCTCACTGAGCGCCACATGACACCGGATGAGCGTGCCCAGTTCAAGGCCGCCAAAGTCAAGGAGTTGCAGAGATTCTTCGACAACCAAGTGTGGCAGTTTGAGACTACACGTGAGGCCGAGCCAAGCCGGACTTTGGCCACTCGCACGCTGCTCATGGTCGAAGAATCCTGATGGCAGTCCCAGGGCGAAGGCCCGCTTGATCGTCAGAGCACTTCAAGATCCAGATGCATGGGAAGGCGCCGTGCCTACTTCCTCGCCTACCACGACTCGCTTGTCGAGGTCCATGCTGTTGATTTTGGCTTCGACCATGAGCTGGCCGATCTGGACATCCGACATTGCCACGGCCTTTCTTGAAGGGAGACCACAGAGCCGAAAGCTATGGGTTCAACTTCCCACCGAATGTCTGGAACTGCTGGGAGCATCCGCGGACACCAGAATGCTGTTGTTGAAGCCTTGCTATGCTCCAACAGCCTGGTATCTGGCCGCCGTGGACAAGTTGAAGGCCATGGGATTGAAGCAACATCCCCAAGATCCTTGCTGTTTCCTCATGTATGAAGGCGAGCTCAACTCAGAGTTTGATCCTGCAGCTCACGCACCACACCTGCTAGGCCCTCACGGTCTCTGTGGCATGGTGATCATGCACGTGGATGACATGCTTGGATGTGGCTCCACCGCCTCGCAATGCTACAACGACACCATTGCCAAGCTCAAAAGCTCATTCACCTTCCGTGAATGGAAGACAGGAGAAGATGGAAAGCCTTTGACATACTGCGTGCTCATCGACCCAGAGCTTGCAACATGTGCTGAATGCACCCTCCTTGTTGGCCCTGTCATGGTCACGGATGCCAAAGCCTTATTTGACTCCTACCACCGAGAAGGAGTCTCCAGCTCCGTGGTTGACAAGAGAGTCTCCTTGGAAATCAGGATCGCCTCAGTGCTTTGGGCGGCAACCTTCGATGGATGTCCTCGGAACATCAGATCGCAGACGGCCTGGCGGCCTGACCAAGGAATCTGCTCGGCTCCTACTGGCTCAACGCCTTCGTCATGGTCGCCTCAAGCTGGTATGGGTTCCCTCGTACAAAGCTGCCAAGAAGAAAACTAAGGAAGAGGAAAGCGTTCAAGAGGTCCTGATGCCCTGGAGTCCTATGAGCCTGAAGGCAAAAGTGGACGAGCACGTGTCTGCCGAAGACCAGGACACACCGAATGAACAAGTTCATCAGAATGTCATGTGTGCACGCACCGACGACACCATTGTGTATGTCAACCGTAGGTCCTGTCATGTCGTGCCCAGCCGCCTGATCGAGCCCTTCTCAGGTCGCATGAAGTACATCTTCCAGCTCCTCTGCTTGTTTTGGCTGATGCCCCACTTGGCCGTTGGAGCAGAAACCACTGCAGAGAAGAAGGAAGAGTTTGATGTTTTTGGAATGGCTTTGTATACTGGCTTCATCATGGTCTTGAGCACCGCATTTCTTGTGGGCCGTTGGTCTTGCCTGCCTGGACGCCCCACTGTGACGGAAGTTGGCCTACAGAAGGATGAACCGGTGGTCCATTCCCGCCTTCGAGAAGAGCTGGCCAAAGCGCAGGAAGAAGTGTCCTTGTGGCGCAATCGCGCCGTGGAGTTTCGCCCGTTCGCTTCAGAGAGTCGAGCTGCCGCTGACATGGTGTTAGCGTATCAGTGCACGGCCGAGAACCTGCTGAGTGAAGCCTCAGACCTCCTTCGCCAATGTCTGAGACAGATGGTTGAGCATTCCAGTGACTGCCCCTTTTTCCAGAAGATTTGGATGACTCGCCATGGGCAGCGGTGGCATGCCTCACCGGAGTTTGCTGGCAGGGACAGAACGTCCTTTAGGATGGTCGAGCGCTGTCACTTGTGCAGCATTAGGATGTTGCCTCCCGATCACGTTGCTCAGAGAGATGGCGAATCCGCCCGAGTGCTTGTGCACCGCTGGCTCGATGAATACAAGCAACGCCTCATGGAGTAAAATGCTCCCCGTGTGAAGTGTACGCTGTACACTTGAGTCATGAGGTGTGAGATGTTTTTCCTTTCGCTCCGCAAACCTACCTCTCAAGACTTGGGAGGGCACAAGTTAGGAAAGGCGCGGCCGTGGAGGTCATCGACCTCCGTGTTTTCCCATTTGCTTGTCACGGACTTCGTTCGCCGTGCTCGACAAGTTCACAGCAAAGCTTTTAGGATCTTCAGATACTTCTGCTCGCTTCTGATTGACTTGATCCATGACAATTGACGCCATGAACCATGACTCTACTCTACAGAGCGGTGACCAAAAGTACGTACAGTCAGCCCCCCCAACTGCCATAGACTCTTCAACTCTTTACACCGGCTCACCGAGCATACTCAGCAGGCAATCGCTGGGGCAGATCTCATGCCCCAAGGTGCTGGGTGGAGGTAAACCATCGAGAATGGCTGGAAATCTCAAAAAGCGCCACAGCTCCGAAGTGTCGCTTTGACGCTGCAAGCGAGCCAGGTCGATGCGATCCAGGTTCAATTGTTTGGCCAAGAAGACTTCGAAGGCCCTTCGCGAAGGAGTTGCATCCAGCTGTAGCAGTTCCATTGCACTTTCGGATGTTTCAAGATGTGGCGTTTGTCTCCTGGGGCCATTTCGCTCACACAAACAAAGTCCATCCACGTCGTGCATTCTATAATACTTCTATATATTGATGAACGGCTCAAAAACGCCTGAAGTGCATTTGTCCAACAACTTTGAACTTGCTCCCACCTCACCGTCTCCGCCGCTTTCACGAGGATCATTCTAGCGGCGGCCATAGCCCATAGAAAGTTTAGGCCGGTCGTGACGAGGCCACTCAGGTGGCAACGCAAGTCATTCAATGATGTTCCTCCAGGGTGACGGTTGCGAGTGAAGAGCTCCTCATGCTCTGGCTGTGGCTCTTGGGCAGCTTTGGGGCAGCTCCGGCATAGATTGGCAGTTTTCTTGATTTCTGGAAATTATGGAACTTGTCATGTCTCTTTAAATCGCTGAACGCCTCTAGTTGTGTTTTGGAACCTTGATTTACCATCGCTTGTCGGTTTCCGCCCATCATCTATCGATGTTTGCATTGTTGAAGGGTAAACGGCATGACAATTTATTCGTCCAATTTAATTTACAAGTGTTCTTCAAAAGTCCGAATGAAAGTGGAGCAGTCCTCTGGATTCCAGTTCCTCTTGACAAGCTTGGAGCAGGATGGCCGCGACTTGATGATCTCTATGCCCCACTCTCCTGGGACATGAACACCTGTATGCACTGTATGCACTGTGATCCGGCCCCAACAAGCAAGACCACCCTACGAGTAGCTCACGCGTGCTTAGTTATACAATTAATAAGATTTAATAAGATCGGATCACAAGCCCTCCTTGATTCATCCTCCACCACAGCTTCCAGAGCCAGGGTCACCTCTGGCGTGCTGGACAGCAAACGTCGCGCCAGCTGGATCCGGGTTGAGATGCTCAGCAATGAGCCACCGACACAGGATTCCAGCCATCGAACTGCACTCAGTAGATCATCATCAATGGCGATCACGCGGCCCAAAGCAAAATATATGGCCATGCCCAGTTCGCCCTCCAGACCAGGTGATTGTGCTATGGTTGAACTCAAGAACTCCCGCACCATGGACAAATCGACCTCTTTCGGATCTTCACCAGTGGCCCACTGCCAGAGTCTCGTAGACCAGGCTCTTGACTTGGGATGAAACACCATGAGCAATTGGCCAAGCTCCTGGCCAAGACAACATCAAGGTGAAGCACTTGCAAGCAACAGTCTCGATAAAGAAAGTTGAATATGGATGTGCACTGGTCTCAGCCCGAGCGTACAGCTTCCGCAAGACTCCCCACACCCCATCCTTCAGTTGCAGCTGCCCACTTTGCATCGAGCAGAATGTCGCGTGCAAGTCCTGCAACTGAAGTCTGGACAAAGTATGAGGAAAGCATGAGAAGTCCTCCCGAGGTCCAACATGCGGTTCTGCCGTGCCCCTCCTTCCAAACGCCAAGTCGAAGACTATAGCATGCGACAGACAAGTCCTGGTGGGTGAACCAAACTAACTATATAAGCGATATAAGTAAATCACACCATAGCACGAATAACTGCAGCATGCTGCAGCGCTCAACAATCCTGGTAGACCATCCTGTTCATGCTCTTTCTCCCCAGTACCTCAATGCCTCGAAGTCCCCGCAACACGGCTCGAGGTTCTAACATGTGCGTTCTCTCTCTCTCTCTCTCTCTCTCTGGCACACATGACTCGTCCCGGAGTCGTCTCACAAAGACTAACATGTTCTATCAATGTCTCGTGTACCCCCCTCCTGCAGCGAAAGCCTCAGGCGCAGTGGCAGCACTAGTCCACAAAGTGCCAACTTCAGGAATGAGAGATCTCGTCGTTGCCGTTCGAGTTCCCCTGTGGGCTGACCTGGATGAGGTGGCACAAAGAGGTGGCAAAGGGCTGGTGAGGAGTTCACAACGAGCACCAAAGGGGTGTAGGCCATAGTGAAAGCATGATAATGATAAGCATGAGAAAATGAATAAGTGTTGGAAGGCATCTACAGAAGAAAAGCAGCAAACTGCAAGAATCAGAGGTGAACTCATCACACTCATCAGTAGCAATTGAGGAAAAGACAACTGATACTCGAAACAGCTTACAAGCGGAATGAGCAATATCAAAAACCGATTCCAGAAAACAAGCTTTGTTGAGAAGGTCAAAGGCCGATCACTTCTTTTGTCCCGTGTCCCATCTGCCTTCCAACTGACAAATCTGGCTCATTGCCAGCAGCAGAAGCTCAGCCTCCTGGAGCTGGACGACGCAAGCATCGCACGCCTCGCCCGTGGTGAGGCTGCCAAGCACAAATGCCACCAAACGGTCCAGGGACACAGCAGGGTTAAAGCTCAGGAAGTCAAGGAGCGATGTCCTCAAGCCTGGAAAGATCCAGCACCACGCCAGATGCGCGAGATGATCTTTTTGTTTGGATAGCTTTATCTAGACAGAGAGCAAGTGGTATTGAAGAAACTAAGTGTGCATCGCATACGCTGTGGGGGCATGAGGTGATGCATGGTGACGCCCACCTGCTTCTCGGACACACACCACGGTGTCCCCCGTTTGGCCGTGTGATGCCCCCTGAACCCTGCGTGACCGAACCATGCGGTGCAAAACGCGCGAGCACGCGTTTTATTTTTTGGACATGGTTGAACATTAGCGCAACAAATAACATTGCAAGCAGGCATTGCCATCGAGTGATCCAATCTTTTCCGGGGCTCTCGAGCTTTGTCGGGTGTGATCTGCAATCGTGAAATGTGAACTGCTTGGAGGCGCCATGGCGCCTGAAGACGAGAGCTTGGCCATGTGCGGCAGCAATGGCCATGCATTCTTCACCGCAAAGTGCAGAATCTCCATGGAGAGCTCCAACTCAGCTTCACTCGCCAGGTGCCGCGCATAGCTCAAGGCCACTTCCTGGACGGCTTTCGAGAGAGCTGAGCCCATCACCCTGTCTTTTCACGCCCCAACAAGAACCAGACATGTCGAGATTCGGTGCTTCATCGTCCGTTTGAGTCATTCATCATTCATCCATAGATTGCAGGTGGCGTCGGATGTTCACTCTTGATTGGCCGAAATGAGGCTTCCACAGGGGTCAGTGGGTCAGAAGTTAGATTCTTCTACAGTAATATGTATGCAACTTGTTTAGCAAAGCAAATCACATGGCACACTCGCCCGAATATGATCTTACTAGCAGTTGGAGGCTTGCCAGACTGAGAGGTTCATTGGAAATGGGGTGTAGGTGGTGAGAAACTTGGAAGGGATATAACTCATATCGCAAGAGCCGATACTAAGAACAACTGGCGTGGACTGGACATCTCGACATACCCCAAGCTTCCAAAAGCATATCCAGGTCCAACTGCTCTGTGGTGCCAGATGTGTGCACAGCCTCAGAAGATTCTTGAGAGCTATTAGACTTCTGTCTGCACAGGGGTCTGCAATCACATGGCAACCTCCCCGAACCAACACGTTCTCATTGAGGTTTATGATGGTTTCACTTGTTTTACTCGTCTTTGATGAGTCCGGGTGTCTTGAGACAAACCCCGATTTCATGGACCCCGAGACTCATTCCGAGAGGCGAAGACCAAGAGATCCCGACCGTAGAGACGGAGGGCCCCATCATCAAGCCACCTCGTCTGCCGAAGCACCAAAAAGGATACATTTTAAACTTAAAGATACCCATGATCTGGGTCCTGACTGAAATGATACATTGTTACATTGTACTTATAAAATACTTTCCAGATCTTTCAAGCCTCAGGGCCTTTTCCAAACACTGAAGAGCATGAACCTAAGAGAGCCCGTGCAGCAATGCAAACCTGCGTCCTCCGGCATAGGCATAGATGGTTCCCGAGAGAAAAACCGTAAGAGTACATCCATTCATATCAATTCATTGCGGCTACCACTGATTGGCCCCAGAAGCCCAGGTGATTTGCCCAGGTGATTGGCCTGGACATGTGCAGGCCCTTCTGCTGGCAAATCTCGCGCAGTTGCTGAATGCCCAAGTTGACTGCAATGCCCCTTCGGATGTGGTCCTGCACACGAAAAAACGAAAGACCAGTCTCAGTCAGGACCCAAGGATGAATGAACCAATCCTGAACAAATTTTGGACATCTTCCTCTGCTTGGTGTTAATCATTGGATGGAAAAACAAGTTGGATTACTTCTTGCTACATAAAAACCTATAGTAGCTGTAACACTGCCTCAGTCAACATAAAGACCAAAACAAAAGAACATCTCGCATCCTTTGTGTTACAAAACGCAAAGGCGACAAATTGTGTGTGTGTGTGTCACACCCTGGTTCTAAGGGCTTTCCACCTTTTCACCTTTTCACCACCACTGAGACCGTTCTTCTTTTGCAACAAGCAGGGGGGCAATGCACGACTGACAGACATTGCCCAACGAAGACGCTGTCAGTTCGTGGTGAAGCAATGCGGGACGCCGCATTGTGCACCTGCTCGTTCTTTCACAAGCTGTTACTCCACTTTTCCACTTTTTGATTCATGGTCCTTCATGTTTCCACCCCCAAACCTCGGTTTTGCAGCTGAGTTGAGCCGTTAGTTCACCACCGCCGGTGTGCAGCTGAGTCAAGTGAAACAATCGATGTTCAAACACCTACAAGTTATCGGACTTTTCGCCATGCTGTTCTATCGCCTTCCTTCCCAACGTGGCAATTGCGTTAACTGAAAACCCAAGTTCGAAGTGTGACTCGCTCAGTCTTCCCACTCGGGTACTGGGTGTGATCCCCTTCAGTGGGGCGCAGACGCCATTCCAGATTTTATCGATCCTGCTTGTTTATAACTGACCTTTTGTTCCTTCACTTTATTTCTGAATTCCCTGATTTTCGAGCCGCCGGGCTATAAGCGAGGAATTATCCACTCAACGCTCCGACATTCGTTTGTGTTGTGCATTGCGACGTTTTCTCCAACTTCAATTTAATTTCCCACCCGCAGCCATTTGACCGACGATCAATGCATGCATGCTCACATTTCGGAGATTACTTCCCGACTTCACTGCCATCTTCAAACTTACTGTTTCAGCTGCTGTGCCGCGCGCCATTTTCTCGCAGCCACTCGGACGGCCCTCTCCACATGCAGTACCCTTGGCCTTATCCGCATTGGCCACAGCCCTGTACCGCACCCTCCATACCCGCAATCACCACTCAACCACCGCCATGGCACCACCCTCCACCAACGGCACCTGTTCCTACAGTTGTCTCCCATCCACCACAACAGGCTCTTCTACCTCATTTTCAGCCCACTCCGCAGCAACAGCCACCACACGCGTGGCCACATCCCATGCCAGCCCATTCTCCACCAATACCAACCTTCGTGGCCCCCACACCGGTCCACCCAACGGCTCCACAGATGCAGGCATTCGAGACCCTACCAACGCAACCTCCTCCACACACTATACCCCATGCACCACCATCCGTTGTACCCGTTCCTCCAGCATCACCAACACAGCCGCCAATCCAACAGGTCCCCATCCACTGGGACCAATCTCAAGGTGTTTGGCAACCTTTCTCGGCCTTTCCACCAGTTGCTCACCCATTGCCAGCTTCCGCACCGGATCCGAACACAACTGCTTCGGCCACTCCACCACCTACACAACTACCTTCTGGCGTTCCCAACGCCCCTCCCGGTGCTTCCGATGTCCCACCATCAGTCGCTACCACTCCAGGGACATCCTTACCAACTACCACTGCCACCACTTCCACGACTCCACCACCAGCCACCGCCAAGCCAACACCGCCACCACCACCAGCATCTCCGGCAACATCCACAAACCCAACCGCACCGCCTCCCAAGCCACCCTCTTCACGACCTCTCACAGCAGCACCGCCTCCTCCTACCACCACTGGCCGCAGCCATCGTGGCCGAAGCCGTAGCAAACGGCGTCGCCGCCAACGCAGTCGCCACACACGCGACAGACGCCAACGTTCCCCTGCGACTTCCACCGCCAAGGCATCCTCGGCACGCCGCCGACGTCGCCGCTCTCCCTCCACTACATCTACCACGTCTTCAGCCAGCAATTCCCATCCACCTATCACTCTCCGGCCCAATACATCTCACAGTCAGCTCCAAAACATGTCCCAAGCAGAATACCCCAACTTTCCGGCGCTACGACGCCCCCACCCACCTTGGAAGGCACCTCCTCCACATTTTCAACAACTGTCACCGCAAGAACAGATAGCATGGTGGCTAGACTTCCATGCAGCTCAGTTGGCCGCAGAGAACAGACCACAACATCTCTACATCGCCAAGCTTCTTGCGGACAACGGCTTCGAGTTCGATGATTTGGCAGACTTCCGCCAACTCACCCATGTGAAATGGAATGACACCACCAATGCCTACGACACTTTCTCCTATCACTGTATCAACCTCCCGAGCCTCGTCGACAAAGCTACTCGTCCACTGCCACCACCCGCCACTCGGGCCACTTCGGCCACTTCTACTGCCCCTGAAACAGTTCACATCAACGCATGTCACACTGGCCCTTATGGCAATATTGCTGCCATTTTACAACAGGGTCGTCTCCTCCCCAGTACCCTTCACTTCGAAGACAACCCAGGCTTTTTTGCCCAAGCCACACGCATTACCCACCAACACATTCACGACAACTACGAACAAGCCCGTATTTTACACAACACATGGAAGATGGCAAAAAACGTCCATTCCATCATGGTCCATATCCTTGCTTGGGGCCGTGGGACTAAGTTCACCAGCGGAGGTGAAGCCCAAGCCATGCATCTTTTGCAACAAGATCATGGTGCTGTTTGCCATTCCAAAGCCCGCTGCTGGGTGATTCACCCAAATAATGCCATAGTCAAGGGCTTGGCATGGTCTATCAATGCCATTCCTCCAGACCTTTGAGGTCCCACAACACACTGCCAGCTCCATCTCCACCTTCACCTCCATGCCACAACCCAACGCCTGAGAGCAGCCTGTCCCTACGTTTCACCTCGTCACCACCTCCGGCTTTGTGAAAAAGCCGCGCCCTGATGTTTTACCTGCAGGACAACTTTCAGAGCTTTACAACGTCAACCTGTTATAACTTTTACTCGATTTCTTTTCGAACTTGATTTTCCAGCTTTCATGATGGACCTCTCATGCTCACTTGGATTTTTCTAGACTTGTCAGATCAAAGGCCATAGGCTTTGAGCGTTTTTGTAAGTAATGTGCTCTTCTCTTCCCACCGATGCAGTTTTCCGCTTGAGACTCCACTTTCCACTGATGCAGTTTTTCAGATTCCATTCACGTTTATGCATAATCTGCAAAATTCATGCTCAATAATTCATTTTCGTAATTCATTTGCGCGTTCCGCATGTTATTTCCCTGCCGACATGCAGCGTTGATACCATAGCTGCACCAATCGACGCTCAAGTCTGCTGCTTTTGCTATCTTGACACGGCCTTTCCAGATGCCATCTCATGCAGACCAGGTTCGACTTCTCCATCGAACCACTATTGCCCTCAGTCAGCTTTATCGATTACTCCAGCAAGCAACAGACATCCTGTCCAACTTGCACCGTTTTTATCGTCCATACACAACAGGTCGACCCTCATTTTCACCGACCTTTTCCGACTCTCTCACCAGCTCCCATCACAGCCGTCCCCATTCCCTCCCCCACCTCTTCGTGCGACTCGGCGCCTGCTGCTCCCATCAAACATGCACCACAGGAACCTCCTCCTTCCCAAGCATCCTCGGCTTCTTCTTCATCACCACTACAGCCACAACCCAAGCGCAAACGTCAGCCTCCACCACCCCTCAACGAAGATGCGGATTGGGATGCTTGGGACGCTGATGCAGATATCCGCCTTGTCGAGCTCAAAACTGATACTCGTCTCCGCCCGAACTGGAACTACGTTGCCCGTCGAGTAGGTTTTTCCATTGAGCAGTGCAAAGCACGTTGGGAAGAACTTCAAGCACCCCCACACCAACACGAGGCAGTCCACCCACCACCGTCACCTACACCCACTTCACCTGCCAACACACCGCCGGCCTCACCGGCCCAGATGCTTCTCTCGGCATCAGCGCTTCCACCACCGGCATCACTTTCAGCCCCAGACTTCTCCTACACACCCACACCACCTCCATCGCCTGCACCAGCTGCCCCAGTCACACCTGATGCCGTGCCAGAAATCACCAGTGAGGACAGTCATCCGGAACTCGCAGCGGCTGACATCGGTAGCTATTTTGTATAGTTTCAGTTTCACCCAGCTCTCTTCGGCGCGCCATCAGCAAACAAGTCCATGCACTGCAGCACTGTTATGCACTTTGAATTCAGTTCATTTTTCCTGCCGGCACCCTACCCTACACCAAAACCGGCACCGCCGTCCCTACACATTCCCCAGCCGGCACCGCAGGCCAATGTCGGCCAACAACACATCTACTACCTGCCCAACCCCCAGCAACACCGAGGCCATGTCCCGCTCCATGCTGAGAACTATGACCCAGCAAACGACCCATGGAGGACACCAGATTGACCAGCTACAGCGCTGATCAGCTGTAGCTCCGCCCACTGATGTGCGTCACAGAGCCACCATTGACGACGACCAGCTTCCACATGCACTCTGATTCCCACTGGCTCTCGCAGCCTGTGCTCTGTGAACCCTTCATGGACGTTGGCCGTTTCACCCGCACCACGAAAAAAGCCTCCGCTGCCAAGGTAACTGTCTATGTCACACTTACAACCACTGTTGTCTAGCAAGAATTCAACATTCTTGTGTGTCTTTTCTACCTTTGGCTTTTTTTGGGTTCAACAACACTCTCGGACTTATTGCAGCTTTTTCCAATTTCTCCACTTATTTCATTATACAGGAGTTGTGCTGCGTTTATCCATGACAATTCGAATCTTCCACTTGCTTCTGCTAGCTTTCTTGCTCAAACGACTCAACTATCGCTATCAGTCTCGACTCTGCCTGGCACTCACCATGGATGCCCAATGGCAACAATATTACTGGAATCATTACTTGATGCATCAGCAACAGCTTGTTCCGGGCTCAGACAATGCCCACTACACGCCGACCAGCGCTTACGGCCCCATGAGCCACTCCATCCGCACGCACCAACAGCATCAACCTCATCCTTACACGCCACCGCCATCGACAACACCACCAACCCACACACCACCATCCCACACACCACCGGCCACCACGTCTCCAGCTTTTCCACCGCCGCCGCCGGCACCACTGCCAACGACATCACCCACCACACCACAACCGAAATCCTTCCAACACAGTCCCACCCACTCGGCTCCACCAGCACCTCCAGCAACAGTTCCATTCCCAACTCCACCCATCCAAGACTCCTGGCACTCCACCGACTCCTGCTGGGACGCCAACGCCGTCCACGGTCATCAACTCCACCGTCACATACAACCCACACAGTGGTCTCGACGAGTGGGGATCGCAGGCTTGCCGACTTTTGAAGTGTTCCCTTGGTTATTGGCATACCATGGGACAGCGGACTTCACTGCCAGGACGCTCAGCCACGGAAAGTTTTGCGGGCTCATTCCTACGAGGAGTGTTGCCGAGTCAGTTTTCACTACCCATCTCCTTCAGGAGATTCGCGATAAGCGTCTGGACTTGGACGCTATCGCCGAGGCCATCCACACCAAAGCCGGCACCACCGTACCCAACAAAACTACACAAGCACGCGCATTCCACTCTCCTCTCATCACATTGCTAACCGACCAATTACAGGCCCACTCCCCCGCGGTTGCCGAAGGCTCCGCCATCCGAGCGCTCAAGGCCACCTCTGACGATCTTGCCCGAGCGCGAGAGAAACTCCAGGCACATGGACTGGAACTCACCCCCAAGAAAGACACGGGCCGTCCCAGCGCTCCCTCCAAACCCACACCCCCGACCCCACCTCACCAACCACCAGCGCTCCCAGACGTGCTTCAGCCGTCCTATCCCACTCTCAAGGACGACGCCCCCGAAACATGGACCACGCCCTCCATTCAACACTGGATGCGGTCTTTTGAGCCCAAGATCCAAGACGCAGCCCAGGAAATCATGCGTCTCCTCCAGACTAGCAAAGTCTCCACCGACCAGCTCAAGGAGGCCGCGACCCGTTATGGCCTCCTTGGCTCGGGTGAGCAAGCTCTCGATCAAGAGCCTCCAACATATTTTGAGTGTGGGGGCTGCCATCGCATGCTGACTAGCCTTGAACAGCCAAAGCCAACCCCATCACACCACACTCCACCAACTCTTCCGTCTACACCAAGCACTCTCCACTCTCATCCACTTCAGCCAATACATCGAGCGTGCCGAGGCCCTCTTTGCTGTGGGCCTCATACACATCACACTTCTCTTTTGCTACCCCTCATCCACCCAACGTTCTCAACAATGGCGCCAACGACTTCAGCACCTCCACATCCAACCTCACACGTACCACTACCATAATTTTCTTTCCTCAAATGCAATTTATGTCAAACTATATTTCAACCCCAAAGCCCCACAACGCTGCTACCATCAACACGGCCACTTTTACATCGGCTCCACCGGCATTGGCATCCCGCACAGGGAACACAACCGTCGGGCAAAACTCAAACAGTTACAAAACAACATTCCAATTTCAGCTGAACTCTCCCTTCGCTACTGGCATTCTCACAACAATATCCACCACTTCACGCCCATCCAACTTTCCTCATATGACACCTATGACCAGGCCTGGATCCAAGAACATTACCTCATTTCCAACTGGATGCCGCCACTCAACTGGCCTTTCATCTCCCATCACCTCAAGCTAAAAGCCCAAGGCTGGCAGTTCACCCAGCACCGTGCTCATTTCTACTCCCGTCTAGCCACCCACAAGCGACTTTTCCGCAAGCTTCGCAGACGGCAACATGCCATCCACGAACCACATCTTTTCACATCCACTCGACTGCACGCCCTCGCCCTTCTCCGCAATCTCACCAAACACACTCGAGCATCCTTTGAAGCAGCAAAACAATTGCGCAGCGGCAAACACACAGACCTGGAGGTTTATGCCATCCGCCGAATGGCAGCCAACCTGGAGGAGCCTGGACGCAGCAGAGCACTCCACATCATCAACCAGGCCCTCAAGTATCGCAATCTCAGCCCGCCCAAGCCCAACATCCCCCTCACCGTACCGTTCTTGGCCCACGACCATTTTCCCAAACACTGTGAACAGTGGCTCAAAACCACAATCCAGCAGCACAAGCACCTGGCCATCCCGCTCCACTTGCCTACTCACCGTCTGCGGGAGGCGGCCCACAAGACTCTCCGCGCTCACTTGCACAATCACCGTACCTGGGAAGACACCTTGCACAATCCTCCCGCCGCTACTGATTTGCCATGTGCTTGCGCTCACCTCAAAACCATTCTACTTGATCCAAACACTCCCATGATCGACCACCACTACATCCTCACCCTCGAACAACTGGCATTACCACAGCACCTCCGCATCTTTTTGGCAGCCAATATGAACAGCACCTTTTACCCCAGCAAGGCCAGATATTTCCATGCCTTCCAGACAGCATTCACCAAATGGCTACGCATTCAAGGTCTACCACCCTCACTCACGCAACACCTGGAACCTTTTCTCCAGCACCAATGGAAGCTCCACATCGACCAGTTGAAACGACACCCTCGCTTCACAGCTCGTCTACTCCGCCAACTCCAGGAATTTCTGGGAGACCAAGTCGTCCTCCATCACGCTGACCACGAACTACAACAGTTGCGCATTTTCTGCCCCCGCCAATACTTCACCGGGGCGCTCGCAACTTGGCAGACACCGGAACTCTTTGCACCCATGCCAACTCTTCAATCAACAAACATCCACGACTACCTCACCCAGACCATTCCTTCCAACCTCCGCACACGCTACAAATGGGGCTTTAGAAAAGACTTCACCATCCCATATGGCATCGTCCACCTCAAAGAGAAGAAGCACTGGAGAAAAGGTCCCACCATTATCTCATACTTCCAATCCCTCAGCGGCAACCTCCTCCGCATCACCAGCCGAGCCCTTGACATTGTCCTGCAACACCTCTTTCCACAGCTTCCAGGCCAACTATCAATGCCACAACTGTGGTCCCACTTCCACTGCTACCTCAAAGACACACCAACCGACATCCCCCTCCATGCCACCAACGATGATCTTGTGGGCTTCTTCAACTCCGTTCCACAGCACCGCCTGATTGACGCTGTCCACTCCCTCGTTCAGCAATGGCAACGCCAGAACGACACCCACACCCTGACCGTTGACACCCAAGCCACTGGCAACCCTTTTCACCACTCCCACATTGGCCGGCACCACCGACGCCACCCCACACAACGCACCATTCACACTGCAGACATTACAACCATTGTAGCATATGCACTCGATACCTGCATTTTCCGGGCATGCAATCTCCCCTGCCCTTTGCAATGTTGCCATTACCCTCATCGAACATTCCTGGCAGCAGCTACACAACAATCTCCTCCAGCACACAGCTCTTCATTTTGCTTACTACCGGTACGTTGACAACCGTTTCATCGTCCACAATGAACATTTCCTCTCACACCCCGCCATCCAAACCCTCATCCACAACAACTTTTTCGGCGATCCCGTCGAATTGGAGACGGTGGACGACTTCCACCTATTGGGGTTCAACATTGACCTCCAGCAACGTACCATCACCTACATACAACCCACCCAACCCTGGAAGATCAGGGACCACACCAGCGCCGGTAGCCAGCGCTTGGCTTTGTCCGGCTTAGCTTCACGACTTCACTCCATCTACACCTACACCTTCCCACCCCACCATGCCACCGCTGCGGCTGAAGCTTTGGTCCACCTTTACGCCCAAAAAGGGCATGACCTGCACGCGTGCAGGCGGTTTTTGAGAGAGAAAAAGCCTCGCGTTCTCCATCGCTCGTTCTCTGCGCCGACTACGGCGTCTTGTGTGTGTGTCACACCCTGGTTCTAAGGGCTTTCCACCTTTTCACCTTTTCACCACCACTGAGACCGTTCTTCTTTTGCAACAAGCGGGGGGGGCAATGCACGACTGACAGACATTGCCCAACGAAGATGCTGTCAGTTCGTGGTGAGGCAATGCGGGACGCCGCATTGTGTACCTGCTCGTTCTTTCACAAGCTGTTACTCCACTTTTCCACTTTTTGATTCATGGTCCTTCATGTTTCCACCCCCAAACCTCGGTTTTGCAGCTGAGTTGAGCCGTTAGTTCACCACCGCCGGTGTGCAGCTGAGTCAAGTGAAACAATCGATGTTCAAACACCTACAAGTTATCGGACTTTTCGCCATGCTGTTCTATCGCCTTCCTTCCCAACGTGGCAATTGCGTTAACTGAAAACCCAAGTTCGAAGTGTCACCCCCTGTATCTAAGGGTTCCACCTCTAACCTTTGTAACTA